AGGCTGAAGAAGACTTCCCGTGATCCCAGAGAAAATGTTGCCTATGATGCGAGTGCTGAGCAGTCCGGCTACCATCCTACTGTGCCCCATGATGAGAACGGAGATCCCATCCAACTAACAGCACTGGAAGGCGAAGATGGCGACCTTCATAGTGGCTTTTCCCACCTCCGTGAAGCCATGGCACGCAGAGTAGAGAGCTTCCAGCTGAAGCGGCCGCGTATCAACAGAATCAATAGAAACAACAGAAAGAAAAGAAAAGAGGCACGAGCCTTTGGAATCTGCCACATTACTTTAGTTTTATTTCATAGTTATTTTCCTTGATCATTCAATGCTGCTGCTGCTGCGCTCACAATACTTTCGCCTTTGGGTATTTCCATGTCCTTTTCCAGTTTCCTTAGGCGCTTCTTGAGATGAGGAAGCTTGCGCTTTTTGTGTTTGCTGGAACTGTCCTTGATATCGATATAGTGGTCGCATAGACGGTCATACTCTCTGTACTGCTGTTGGCCCATGTATGATTGGCGCATTGCTGTGGCCTCAGTCTGGCTCTGTTGAATGGCTAATGTTGCTTGTTGTAGAGTTGCCATGAGCTGTCGGTCTCTTTTGGATCCACTTGTGACTTCTTCACTGTCAGAGTCGCGAGATGCAGGTGTTGAGGTTTTTTTGCTTGTGGGAGCTGAAGAGTCCGACATCAAACCTGGCGGCATGAAGACATTGTGAGCGGTGTCGATGTTGGGCTGCTCTTGCACTCTCTTGTCCAAGTAGTATACCGGCACGCCTGGCATTGTTGTCTTCCCACGAACTGTCAAGTGAGCCCTTCGGAGATAATCAGAGAAGACTTGGTGTTGCCCGGATTTGGTCTTTGCAATGATTACTTGCTCCCTTGCCTTCAGCAGGTCTTTCATGTGGGCTTGGCAGCTTTCGGCGGAGAGAATGCTGAAATCGTTTGGGTTGATTCCTTGCTCTTCTACGGCAGTGACCAGCCATTCATCTGGGTCAAGACCAACAGGGTTGGAATACAAAACAATGCCAATTGTCGCGTTGTTCTCTTGATCTGTAAAAGCAGCTGAGACCTCTGACCAAAAAGCCTTGATTGGACTTTGTCCAGAGTTTAGTTCAAAAGCGTTCCTATCGAATCGCTGGGTCAAAGCAACGAACCTGTCAAGGTACAGAGGGAGAAATACAGTGTTTATGAGCCGAATCAGCGACCTGATCTTTCTTTCCATAGTACTCGATACTGTACTGGGAACCTGCATATTGTCATAAGTGGTACCCATTTCAATTGCCAATGCCATCTGCCTGCGGCATTCGAACATGGAAACAGACCCAGTATTCTTACAGCCAAAGTTCTTGGTGAGCTGCCGTAGCTGTGCAGAGTTCAGATCTCCTGCCTTCAAGTCGAAGTACTTGTAATTGTCGGTGTTCTCTCTACCTACACGGATTCCCACTGCTGTTTTGAATGGCCCTTTGTCTGTTTTGCTTCTTTTATTCATGTCTTCTGCAATGACCACCGGTTTCGATGCTCGAAAGTGAAACCCTTCAAGACGTTTGGAAGCTCTTTGATTTCCTTTGCTCTTGGGGCCTTCTTCAGTTGACCCGGTGCAAGGGGAGGTCGACCGTCTGTCTCAGCCACAGCTTCTTGCGTTGGTTGCGTAGCATTAGACGTTTGCGTAGCATTGGACGTTTCCGGGTATTGTACAGGTAGAGGCCCTGGTTCCTGCACGGGGAAACCTGCTGGTGTCAGATCAGGGTACACTCTTCTTCCTGGGAGGCCTGTATACTCTGGTCGAGCATTCCACAAGCTGTGACGAAAGTCGTTGACCATAATACTATTGGCTCCATGAGGAGGTGTCAACAGAGAGTAAAATCCACTGTTCGTGGATGTCATGGACTGTCTTGGTGGCCGTGGTGAAACAATGGGGGGGCTGGGAGCTGGTGCACGAGTTGTGAAGACTGCATCTTCATCATCAGCACCATCCCTGGCAGCAGCGACGGCAGGAGACTGTGCGAGTCGATCCGAGTGATTGTATTCGTCGTCTGATGATGATGAGCTCATTTTCAGCTACAATGTGAGCTCAGCATTACAATCACCAACTGCGCTTCAAGAACAATCCATTGGAGAGTTCGGCATCTCCAAAGACTCGCAGAACTACCTGGAGCGAATCCTTGGCCTACTTCTAATCTAACAAAGACATCTAAATTTCTAAAGAACAATTCTTTCTTACAGATCACATTATCTATCGCATTACTTGTCATCGCTTTATTGTTTATCATGCTACGAGTCTCACATTTCATGGTGCTTCTATCAAGACGAGAGACACAAGGTGTGATCAAAAAGAAGCAATCACCATCCACCATGCGCGAATTGGCGAAGGCGGTGGAGGTTCGAAGAAAAGTGTTGAACTGGAAAAATCTTCGCGGCACTGACGTCACGATTTGAATACCGCGAAGGTGCGAAATGGCGAAGATAGGAAAATGATAAGACCAAGCCTGAGTAACGATCAAGCTTTCGCTTGGTACACTTGTAGCGACTGTAGGGCTCTGCGGCCTTTGAATTGCAGAGGAAAGAATCTGATGCGGATGGTTCTGAGCGAACGCTTTGGACACCCGGTGTGGACCGGGTGTTCAGGGTTCTTAGAGCAGCTTTTAGAGCTTTTTTTGTGTAAAGAGTACTCCAGCGTACTACTCAGTACCGATTGTGTCGACCAGCCACCCAGTGACCAGTGTGCAACAATAATAATTCTAGTAGACTGGGACCAAGCAAGGTACTCGCACTCGCACTCCAACAATTACGGTACCCATTTGCTATGGTACGACTGTAGATGGTGGAGTGATGGACTGACTTGCTGGTATGCAGGCTTTCGCAGTGATGAACTAGCTAGATCGGATGATGGTTCTGGTGGAAACAGGGTGTTCAGATCCACTTCAGAGTCGAGTCAAGAAGAGCTAAGCAAGCAAGTAAAACCTGTAGGTGCCGGTTCGATTCTTCTTCAAACGAGGATTTGACATCTTCAAGCTACGAGCGAACAAACCAACAGTGGTGACAGCCTGAGGTCAACAGCATACCTGCCTTGCAAGAACCAAGGGAATTCCTTGGCTGGCTGATTTGCACCCTCCCTCTTCTACCATACGGTACCTCACCCCACCCCGGTGAAAAAAGAACAAACCTGGACTGGAATGATTCAATTGCTAAAATCGCGTGAGGGGCCAACTCCTGGCCCCACCTAGCTCGTAGACTTGGACGGTTCGCCTTGACGCCAACCTTGCTTGGCCAGCAGGCAGAACCTGGGCTCACCTTCGAACCTCTGGTGGATCTTCCCTTTACGAAGTAGTCTACTTTCATGGTCCCGCGGTACAACTGTGCTAGCAAGCTACAACCTGGAGCAACCTGGTGTTTTCAATTAGAAAAACAATTTTGCAAGAGGTTGGCGCTCGGCCAGGAAGACAACTTTGGAAATCAGGTAGATGTGGTAAATTACAAATTATATACAAACATTCAGAGTAAAATATAACTTTAACCCTATGTTTACCCCAACTAATCTTTTATTAAACCTGTCTTCCTGAGGCTCCCAGCCAGGATCTCTTGGAATGGCAAAAATATTATTATTACACGCAAGAAGGCAGATTTTTAATGACAGCTTAGTAGATGCGGTAAAATTAGTTCCCGATAAAAGCTTTGAAGTAAGTAATCCAAAACAGGACTTTAACCCTACGTTTACCAGAACTACCAGGTACCGGTACGTGATTGCATTACAGCCCACCTCCCAGGAGGCAACAGCAAGTCTGACCGAGACCAGCACGCCGCGATAGCACTCCAAAACAACACATGTCAACATGTCAACGATGACATCTTCTGCCAGTACAACTGCTGGCGTAGATGCGGCTTCTGCTGAAGTTCCCAGTGCGGCTGTGCTCGTCATGGATCAAACCGATATCTGGGTTGACAACATCTTTTCCTTCTTGGGCATGGGACACTATGCTTTCGTTGGAGCTGTGAACAAGAGATTCCAACATCTCTACCAGTTGTATTGTGATTCTGTCCAAGATCCGCCCATGGTGCTCCTTTATGGTTCCATCTATAGTACACGCCAAGCCAACCGCACGGATACATTCTTTGAATTTGCGTTCTACAATACATCCTGTGCCAATTTCTGGAACAGCGACACTTCCCACTTTCGAACCCCACTGTACCTGTCCACGTGCCGCAAAATTGCCAGGTACGGGGTTTTACCAGTGATGGAATGGGCTCATGAAAAGGGATTTCCCTGGGATGGCGATGTTTGTGCCGAAGCGGCGAAATGGGGTCATTTGAATTTGTTGCACTATGCTCGTGCCAACCGCTGCCCTTGGGGTGCCACGACTTGCTCCAATGCTGCTATGAATGGACATTTGAAACTGTTGCAATGGGTGAGACAGCATCACTGTCCATGGGATGGATCTGTATGTTCCAATGCTGCCAAAGGAGGACATTTGGAATTGCTCCAGTGGGCCCGACAGAATGGCTGTCCGTGGAATCCATCCGTATGCGAAATGGCTGCTGGCAATGGACATTTCGAGCTCTTGAAATGGGCCAGAGACAATGGATGTCACTGGAACAAATTTACATGCAGAGCTGCTGCTAGAAATGGGCACCTGGAAATATTGCAATGGGCACGAGAGAATGACTGTCCATGGGATGAATTTACGTGTAATGCAGCTGCATTTCGTGGACATTTTGAAGTCTTGAAATGGGCTCACGAGAACAGCTGTCCTTGGAGCACACTCACATGCTATTCAGCTGCAGAAGGTGGGAATCTGGAAATCTTAAAGTGGCTTCATGACAATGGATGTCCTTGGGATCAATGGACCGGCATTGCAATTGCAAAGTCGAAAGGACACTCAGAAGTTCTCGAGTGGGCGGAGCTGCACCCAAGCAACGAATGACTCTCATTACCTAGATCTAGATAGCTGCTAGCTAGCTAGAGGTTTCTAAATAATAACCTATCCAAGTTACGATTAGTACCGAATTGCTTCTTCCAGAAACCGTGTTTCTTCCCCAAACTGTTCTTCCTGGACCGCGGCTCGTCGAATTTCATTCCGTATGGCCGCTTGTCCATCTCGTGTGTGATGCGCTCGTTGAATCCGCCTCCTCCAGATCCGTAACATGGTCAAGAATGGATTTTCCGACAAGTCGTGCAGTCTCCAATTTCCTTTGGCGTTGCGTTTGCGTCCCATGACACCCCGAAAGAGTTCCCGACAAGTTTCTCGTCGCGCTTTGATTTCCGCCGCAGACATACTTCGCAGCATCCGTGGCAAATCGATAATACGAGCTTCGGAAACGCGCACGACACATCCCGACCAATCCACATCCGGTTCAAAGGGCATGGTCAAATAGGAAACTACCACGGGAATGGCATCCGCCAGCAGGGCATCGTTCAACCGCATACTACTGGGACCCCCACCACCGGGACAAAAGACAAACGTGGAATTGAGGAGGAGCTCGGAATACGCCACGTTTCCCGTTAATGCGTACGGTTTCTTGTGACAGGACGTGTCAATGACAATATCTTTGTCGGAGATATCCCAGAATTCCGACGCGAGCCATCGATGATGTTGATAGGGTATTCGCCAGTTTTCGATGCGTCCCTTGAAACTAAGGAGGACTCGTCGGGGTCGATGCAGTGATAGATTGTCGTATTGTTGGGGACGGGTCCATCCCCATGCTTGTCGAATGGGACTGGCAATATCGTATCCTTCTCGTAGTATCGAACTGGAAAGTGATTGGTGAAAGAGTGCGGCAAATTCAAAATTGAACGTATGAGGTCGTGGACGATCCCCGTGTGCATCAAAGATCGTGTCGGCTCTCCAAATGACATGGTTTTGTCCGGCTTTATTATTACAATGAAATACGACAACATAGTATTAGGTTGAGAGAAGAACGAAAAGAATGTGTGAGATTTCGAGAAGAACAAGTATCGACTAGATCACCACACGTGTCAGTAGCAAACAAACAAACAAACAAACTCACCCATATACTCGGGACTATGTATCATTTCATCCGGATCATCGTAGGTAGTATCTTCCGGAGACGATCCTCCATCTTCTGGCGTCTTGGCATTGTGTCCAACCAGAAAGAGACATCCTTCGTCATGCCGAGTAGTGTAAGCAACATCGTCGGGAAGCTTTTCGAGGGCTCGTTGGATGGCTTTTAGAAGTTTTGGATTTCGTTCCGGTTTGTGCAAATAGATTTTCATGGGTTGATGGCGGGGACATCGCTGAAGATCAAAGCAAGGCAGCGTCAAATCGGGAGAACAGCGCGGACTTTCGTAGACGGACGGAAAATCAAAAATGGACGTCACCATGGAAGTGGGATCTCGGCCAGAAGCTTCTGTGCGAAAATGGGATCGTTGCGATATTTGATCGACATCCCAATTGATGAGCGGAAATGGAGGACATTCCCCACGAGGTTGTAATGGAACACAATGGTGGCTGTCCGTGCATTCTTGACAGTGCCATCGGCCACTATTTTTAGAAGTAGATTTCTGTTTCCAGACACAACTTTTTCCAGTCGAGAAATCGTCCCATTTTTTACCGGCTTTTTCGTACAAACGAGCATTGAACGCCAGCGTGGGGCGCTCTTTTACGGCATCTACTGAGGACGAGTCGGCAAACACCTGGGAGCTCCAGTACAGCGACAACCCGGTCGAACCGATCCACACCAACAGTGCTGCCACTGCCGCTTTGCTCGCAGTTTTTCCTCGTGTCATTGTCTCATATCATCACCAGCCAAGAATCTGCCGGCCAATAATGGAACATATGGTGGACATGTGTGTAGTCTGAGTAGATGCTAGTTAGTTAGTTAGCTAGCCACGGTAGATAGGCAAAGCCATTGCAACAAGAGCAACAGCACAAACAGCTCAATGGCAGTGGAAGGATGAGGCGAAGAGGCGAACCCGCAAGGCAAACGGTAAAAGCCCGCAGAGTGGTAATTTTGAGAGGGTGCTTGAAGAGTCAGAAGAGTCAGTAACACTCCAAGTTTTCTCACTATTCGGTAGGCCAGTGTCCAGACTTGACTGTGGGGAGCCTTGGCTTATGGGTTGGCCTGAAGCACTTGTCAAAAAAGGAGGATTGAATGATTCAAGTCGAAGGGGTCACCGGCAGGAGCCATTTATTTGGCCCTAATAACACACTACCTTTGGCCCAACAATAGACCCTGCGCAAACACGAGAATTGAATCACTCAACTCCAATAATGCATCCAATACCTATCGGAGCCACCACTACATTGGTCCAACAGAAGAAGAAAATTTTGGTAAGCCTCACTTCTGTTCCAAGAACACACGCCATGGCCCATCATGTCCCCGACCCCCTTCTGTTCCTACACCGGCCCCCACTCCTTGATGTACGCTTGGGCCCACCACTCCTAGAGACCCATCTGGCTGGCTGGCCTAACTCAGGCAGCCCGCCCACCTTGGGATCCACACCAGACCCGGGGCTCATTCTACCATGGACAACATCCACCAGCCCCCACTCCTGGACATACAGGTACTTGGCCTCCCTCCTGAAGCATCCACACCACATGGCCCTCGGCTCGCCTTGCTAGTATGGTGCATAGTAGTAGATCCCAACACTAATAGAAGACATGTATGTGTGGCGGCCAAGTCTGAGACATACGTACACCAGGCCCGCCCAGCACGAGGACAAACCCTTGTCTTAAAAACCTTGAACTATGCATGGGCATAGCCGAGGACCCACCGCTTGCCCTACTCTGGAAAAAGAAAAACTTTTTGGTGCCGTCCATAGTTTCATACTGCTTCAGCCGAATGTGCTGCTTTGCTCAAGACACCAAAAAGAGGGAGAATGTTCTTTGATTTAGATAGATACGAAGCATAGTGAACTCAAAATGAGGCAACGGTGAGAACATCGAGGCATCATGGAGGCTCACGTCTGAGCCAAAGCAACTACTGGCTGGCTGCTACTACTAGCTAGTCAGGGGTCAGCATTGGTAGAAAACTCAGCTTTTTTTGGAAAGCTAAGCAAAGAACCGCCACCGAGAAACCTAGCTTTGGCACTCGATTTCTCACCGCTTCATTGAGCCCATAATGTCTAGCTAGCTAATACTGACTACGGTAACTAGCCGAGGCTCTGGACTTGGACCTACAAAAATGACGAAACCAAACAAGCGTGGATTGATAGACTGAATTTCTCTATGATCCAAACATTCTATATACTATTGCATGGCTCTTGCCTTTTTGTTGTCTTTTCGAACGCTTTGGTGTAACGATCGGTAGAAACTCCAAAATAATGACAAGAGAACCATGTCTTTTTTCACGTCGCTTGCTCCCGTTTCCTCTTATCATAGTAGTCAGCTAGCTAGCTTTTTAATTTTTGGACTTTTTGGACTTTTTCTTCTTGGGGGCTTCTTCGGGCTCGGCAGCTGGGGCAGCTGGGGCGGGTGCTGGTTCGCTCATGTCATCTCCGAAAAACTTGGCAATGACCTTGCGGGTCAATTCCATGTCTTCTTCGGGAGTGACTCGAAGAGCACTTTGTGCCGAAGGCTTGTGGGCGGCAGGCACAAAGGCAGAAGCCGAAAGGGCAGAGAGCAAAACAAGTGCGGCGGTGGTCTTCATGGTTGCAAGGCTTGATGTTTGAATGTGATGATGTGAAAGGTCGACTACTATTACTAGCAAGGTAGCAGCAAGCTGGTTCAGGTCAATTTGGTTACCTCATGGCCCACACGCACGACGAACGGCGACAAAAGCAGGTGCCGGAGAAAGATGGTGAAATCAAGGAAAGATACCAAACACGAATGACGTACGCAAAGATCTAAGCTTTTGGTTGACGGCCAGACTGAATGAGAACAGGGACATCAAACATCAAAAAGATATCTTTCGAACATCAAAAAGAGCTAAAAAGATAGATATCTTACAACGTCATAGTCGGGAATCATCAGTCACTGATAAATTTAGAAAGCAGCGACCATGGCGGAGGACCCAAAAATCACGGCGGTACGTGCATGAAGTAGTACACAGTATCCTCGACACTTGATCGATTTGTGTCTTCCTCCACATCATACCATCAATATGGCTGCTTCTGTGGGACTATTACCATCCTCGTTGCAGAGCTCTCTGCAACAAATTCTCCAAAGAGTCAACAAGTGCAACGGAGGTATCCGAGTGATTCTTCTTAGCACAGCAGAAGGAGTCCCGTTGGCCCGAGTGTATGCCGATTCATCACAGCCATTGAATGAAGATGTTTTGAGTGCCATTGAATCGACCTGGGCGCCGGCATCCAAGCAGTGCCCCATGCTCAATATGGGAAAGGAAGTCAAGACTGTGACGGCCATTTACGACCATGGGATACTCATGCACGTCTATCAAGTACCATTGGTGTTGACAATTTTGGGGAATCCGCAAGCGAATATTGGGGTGTTGCGATCCACGGCGATTCCTCTGTTAAAAGAAGTGCTGGAGCCACTGTGTTCTACACTGTTGAATAGTCTTGCCCCAGGGAGAGATTAAAAAGCTGTACGGGCTGTGCGTGTTTTTGGGTGGATGAAATACCTTTCCAGAATTTGGTTGGGGTTTGGAAGAAATACCAAGCACTTCATCATTCCCATTTTGACAGACCGACTCCAATTTTCATCCTATTATAGGAGTACCTTCGTAGTTTGGTCCCTCTCAATCTAAATCAATCCAATGTCCTACTAGAAGCAAGCTATTTCTGGGTTCGAGACAACTCTTCATATTTAGTTAGTGGAGGCACGCCGACCATAGTGGAGCTTTGTGGCGCAGCTCTGCATGTATTATACCTGAATGATTCAAGCTGAGGTTGTGACATTTCTTGGCTGCTGCCCCAGATCTGGTGAGGACGAATAGTCAAAATCACAGCAAGCAAAACTACCAGAGACAGTGGCATAGGTCCAGGTTGCCATTTTCGGCTCGCAACTTGCTTCCATGGTTCTGTTCTGAACAAAACTGAACATCCATTGTGGAGGTAGCTCTTCTGTAGATAGATAGCTACTAGGCATACATCCAGCCAGAGATATGGATTGTACCGTACCAGTGCCGGCAGCAGTCAAGATCGAATCTTATCCATCAACCAAGGATCGATAGATCTAGATCTAGGGATATGATAGGATGACATCGGAATGCTACTAGCTAGCTAGACTCTAGCTTGTACGATCAATAATATCAGGTTCGATTCTTCTCAAATAAAAATATGCCTGACGTAAGTCTTTGATTTAGCCCAACCAAGGACATTGCGTGAACCCACCACAGTGGTAGTAGTCTAATGTACCGGTAGGGGTGCATGGTGCACTTACAGAGATGCCGCCAAGGCATCCAAACAATCCAACAACAAGAACCTGTAGGGTCAGATCGCTTCTTGTAGAAAGAAGATTCCTTCCCTCTTCCAGAAGCATACATGTACTTTTTTGTCACAAAGAAGTGAGCACCCGTTACTACAATGTCATGGCCAGCGGCCAGCGGTCTAGCTAGCCTACATGTATGATACAGGCTGTATCGAGGCTATTGACGCAAACGCAAGCCGGCAGCCGGTACGCGACCCTGAAAAGACTTAAGGGACATATAGCCTTAACCTTAATCTCAACTGACATCACTCGGATCGATCCAAGCCACTCGTACACCTCTTCTTTTTCATTATTTCGATACCTCTATCTTTACTCTCTATTGACTCTATCAACATGATGCTACTCCTCTATAGCGGCTACTCCTCTTAACAAAGGCTACTACTCACCACCATGACAGGCTCCTTTTGTTTGCTAAGCGGCAGCCGTTCGGCAATCGGTCGTTCCGCCGACGGCCGACGGAGCGACCATGACGCCTCCTCTTCCACGGAGCGATCGGAGCCATGTCGCCTCTACCGTTAATGCAACAACAACAAGCGACTACTACTACTACTACTAGAACAACAAGCGATGGCAACAAGCGTCTTCCGTTCGACGGATCGATTCAGTCTTCTTCCAGCGACGACGATCGATCGACCGACCTTTCTTTCGGCGGCGACGACGACTGTTGCTCTTCCGGCAGACCCACATCAAGGCTCCTGTTCTAGTGCTACTTACAAGGAAATGAGCAGCAGCTTCGCTACTACTGTATTGATTGGTCGACTGACTGGAAACATGAAATCTGCTCAATTTTTGCCACCTTGGAGCCACAATTCTCCTTTGAACCTTTGGGATGGGTGCTCCAGTCTTCATGCAAAGCCTCACGGTCCTCTACTAGGCTCTACAGTGTAGATTGAGTGCTGAGAGTGAAGACTGGAGGACCCTTCCCATGGAGAAATCCATGGCAGAATGACAACAAAATGGAATCCAAGCCTGATTTTTCATAGATACTCCATAGGAAACCTTGGAGATAGCTGAGTCCCTTCAAGGTGTGGCTCTGTGAGTGTGTTGGGGAGCTAGTCCTCTGACAGACTCAGCTAGAACAATGTATTGGTTAAGCTAGAGACCATTTGGCCAACACTGTTGCCATGGTGGTAAAATTGATTTTTTCTTTGTTATTCTTCTCTGTTCTGCTGTTTGCCGCAAACAAGCACGATTCGCGAAATGATCACTTCCGGGTTCCCATTTCCGAAAACTGTAAAATAACCGTAAAATCGAATCGTGAAACGTGAAATGAATCTTCTCCGGAGTGCCAGTCCGTAGTCTACTTTGAGTGGACTACCGGTACATACATGTACTACTGGTAGGCAAGTTGCAGCCCAATTCAATGAAAGTGCGTAGAAGAAGCATTATTGAACGTATCTTGCCGCCGGGATGCCGCAGAGTGCGGGTGTTTTAGAGGTATGGGAGCTGTGTCTCAACAGCTGAACATGTGAAGACACCAAACCTCAACCACAGCCACATTGCCCCTCCCGTGAGATGGTTCCAACCAAGATTAGTGTCTCTCGAAAAAGAAGCAACCTTTCCGGTACACCAATCACTGGCAATCACATCAGCTTCCCTTCCACGCAACGAGCACTCATTGAGCCGAACTGCAAGTGTTGCCTTCTCGAATACATTTCGCGGCGGCACTTCACCGAGGTGTCAACGCATCGAATGACGTTTGTGCTAGATCCATAAGTGGTTGCTACGAACCCATGTTCTCCAAGGAAAGTTATCAAGCTTTTGAGCCAATCAGATTCCCTTTTCTGTCTGAGTAGGATATCAAGAGAACGCCTCCTTAGAGTTGTGCCGGTTGACAAAACAGCCCTTCGGATGATGATAGACATCCAGTTTACTATTATCGCTGATTGGTGCAAGCAATGAAAGCAAAGAAACCAGAACTTGGGAGTTGCCCTCTGTTGCATCTGCCTTTCGCCGCAAAATTGCTTCCCAGACCGCAAAGACAAACATCACTCAACTCGTGTACCCATTTGCTTGATTGATCAGTCAGATCACAAGCCAAAAGTCTTCGACGACGACGAAGAAATAAGCTCGATAAAAAGCAAGCCGTACCGTACCATACCAAGCGATTGACAATGGCGCACCTTGTTCAGACAGCTGTTCAGCTCAACCAAGATGGAGTCAATGAGTTTGTCCGTGGGAATTTGACTCTGGCTCTCGAGACCTTTCGTCATGCGCTTCAGACCATGATCCTCTTTGAGCCTCACGTGGACCACAACGATAATAACAACGGCAACCTCCCGGATGCACCATTGAATGCTCATGGGTTCGCCGCCATGGGCATCACCTACGTCCCCATGCCACCACAGAACAACAAAGGGGATCCCTTTGTCTACGGGAGACCCTTTATCTTCAACCCCGCTCTGCTCCCGCACAATCAAGATGGTATCGCCGTGTTTTCTGCGGGGGTAGTCTTCAATATGGCCGTTGTGTTTCACTGCAGGAGTCTCAAGGATCCCAGTGGCCCTTTTCGTGCCAAGGCGTTGCACCTGTACGAGTCGTCGGTCGACCTCTTCTCCAAGATAAACCCCCGCTATGATCTTTCCGGTACCATTGCGGCGGCGTTGAACAACAAGGCCAGCATCTACTACGCCGGCGGCGACTTTGAGAGGTGCGATCATGAGTTGGACCGACTTCAACGGGTCATGGTACAGGCAGAGTACAGTCTGAGCACCGGATACATTCTGCGGGGATCCGACTTTCAGGGTATCTTGCTGAACTTGCTGACGATGCGACCCCCCAGGGTGGCCGAAGCGGCCTAAGCGGGCGACATTGGACAGCCTGGCTGACCTACCTACATTCCTCTCCATCACCATATGTTGGATTCCTGTGTGACACTTTTTTACATTTATTTCTGACGACTCGACTAGCTACCTACCCCCCGTGCTACCGGTACATTTGCTCGCTACTAGCTACTACAAGATAATATTAACGACATCCGAGTAAACTACTACTAATGAATAACATTCATGTTCAGCCAGCCTTAATTGCTTGTCTGTGACTTGTTGTTTTCACCACCCTACCATAGTTTTCCAAAGGCGCCCTTCACTTTTGCCTTGCGGGAGGCAGACTCAGTCCACTACCGTAAGCATGCGCGCAATTTCACCCGGAAAGGAATGCCACATGGAACGCGAATGTGCTCTCTTTCCTCTTGACCACAGTGCTCCCCATCCATAGCCAGAGGAGGCAGGAGCCCACCAAGCAAGCCTACCGTACTAGAAGAACAGCAGCCAACCATGATGCTTTCCCCACATATGCCGTCGTTTTACCTTAGTCTGCTAGCTAGAGACGCACTCCGAAGCATGCAGGCATTGCCTTTGAGACATCCAGCCGCCTTTCATCGTAGCCAGCACAGCTCGCGCACCTGCCTTCCAACCATCACTTTGGTGCAACCGCCGCAGCTAAAATGCCCGCCCTCGTAGCCATTCGGATGCAACCTCCGCAGCTAAAATGCCCGCACTCGTAGCCATTCGTTGCTTCTTGCTTCCCTCTCGACATATCACTATGAATAGCTAGCTAGCAAGCATCAAGGCTGATGCAACAAACGGTTTTCTATCTGGCTCCGTGCTACTACATGCACTCGCGCAAACAGTGGCAGACCCCACCCCACGAAAGTACGGGCAATCATGTCATGAGAGGGGCCGTTCCAAGAGGATGTTAGGGGGGAAGGTTGAGCGTGCTGTCAACTGTGGACGACACCTACATGTACCTCGAGAGGCATGGATCTGATTTGCACACGTGTACACGAGTTGTTTGTTACATGCTTTGAATCAGATTGCACACACACACACACACACACACACACACACACACATTATTTGTTATATATATTTCGGCTACCTACTGGAAATACTCCTTTACGGATTTCATCACGTATAGTCCGATAGCAATAAAGCTGTCTGAGCGACAAAGGCAGCTAGATCTCCACCTCAGTTTCAATTTCAGTCTCAACACCAGCTGCCATCCAATTTTGTGGCAACACTGGATTCTTTCCCCCATAGAAATTGGGCAAATCTTGCTCAGAAATATGGCGGTAGAGCTTGGTGCGATCCTTGGGGTTATCCTTTGGACTAAGGAAATCAAATTTTGTCACCACACGCTTGGGAAGAAGGACTCGGACAAGTTTCCAAATGGCTTCGACCACACTTGGAGCATTGCATGCAAAGATACTCTCAAGCAGCTGGGGATAACAATCCTCCATCAATCCCATTACCTTACCATCCCTCTTGCTGCACTCACTGTTGTACGAGCTCATGGACAACCCTGCCAGATCCACAAAACGGACAGACTTTGTCAAAAGTCCAGTTGTCCTGGTCACATAGTCAAGCCACTGGAAAGACCATTCAGAACAGTACAGGAAGCTAGCAAGCCAGTAATCTTCCGACAGCTTTTCGACAAGCGCATGCTGGTCCATACTGGCAAACTTCAAAAAACAAATCACCCCACGTTTTGCATGTGGGTGTGTGAAAGTCATAGCATCGTCACGCCAACAATCCAAGTATTCTCTGATTTTGCCATCCTTTACTTGGTGAGGAGCAATGGCACGGATATCCTTCTCATCCAAGTTGTGCTCCTTGCGAAATGCCAAAGTGTGCTTTGCTGCATCGATAGCACCCTGGCTCTTCTTGTGTGACAACCAGAATCTCAAAATCCAGAGATCATCGTGCTTGTCAGCATCATAGAGTGGATCGTCCAGAAGAGCTAACTTGATCTTCTCAATCTTTTCGCCATGCTCCTTGATCAAATCTTTAACGGAAAGGCGATCATCCTCAGGACAGACAGGGTCAATTGGATCAGCCAATGCCTCATCAATACCCTTCATCCAAGGCCAGGACGTCATCTTCTTCTTCTTCTTTTGGAGCCTTGGTACCTTGTGCTCTGTTGTTTTATGAGTGGATTGTAACTACAGGTTCCTGGAACCTTTGTCTATGCATTGGCCGAGGGCCGATGCTGATGTGGTACCAGATAGGCGTCGGGAGGTGCAAGGTGAAAAGATCGCGAGTCGTGAGGCTCCGCGGAGTTCTTTCAGGGTTGCTTTCAGGACTGGTCCAGTCACTGGTAAACCATTCTTCTTAAAAACGGGGTTTTCCGTGGATGGCCGTGGATTTTTAAAAAACCGTGGAGTTTCATCTTTGACAGATGGAAAGATCATCCTCAGGACATGCAGCAGACAGGGTCAATTGGATCAGACATTGCTTTATCCATACACCTCATCCATGGCCAAGAAGGCATCGTTTGTTTGTTTTTGCCTCTTTTTCCGAGCCTTTATTCCTTGTGTTCTGTTGTGTTATGATTGGATGCCCTGTTAGAGCACCCAACTCTTGTTGGCCTGATGCTGCATTTCCCAAAGACAGAGCGCCAAAAATTTGACGAAAGATATTTTGCAGCTCAGCAGGATATGTTTAGAAAAACGAACGCAAATTCTTCAGTCAGAGTGAATGTTTCCATGAATGTTTGGCGACGAGTGCTGCAGGTGGCTGCTCAGAGTAGCCAGCCAGCTAGCTAGCTAGTAGTAGTAGTCGCTCTGCATATCCAGACGGACACACTGGCACACTGGCACCAGTAGATCTAGCTGTACCAGTACCATCTATTGTCACGTAAAACCCACAACGCCACAATTCAATTTTCGGAGTTCCCTTTTAGGAGGCAAGCCAGATCTAGCTAGTAGTCTAGCTAGAAACAGGGTATTCGTCGCTCGCAAGAAGAACATCCAAGTCTCCGCCCAAGAACAAGAAAGCAAGGTCGCGCTGGTTTGCTCAAAGGCGTCTCTTGTATTAGTTGACGAAGCGAGCCCTCCATGCAGCTCCTACCAGTACAGAACAGGTATGGTACCGTACTAGCCGGCTAGACGCACGCGGCGTCTACCCATAGCATAGCTAGCTAGCTCCGAGTGCACCCCAACGATCCAGAGCTCCTCCCCGATGACTGGTTGACCTGCAGAGCTCGTGTCCACAACCAAGCCATTCATCGACTTCGAAGCCATTGTGCCAATTCAATGGAAGCTTCTCACCAATGCAACTGAGCCAAGTTTATGATGTCTACTCTGAACATGAATCGATTGCTTCCTAAGTGTTACTCCTACGGTACCACCTATCTATCTATCAGCTCACCAACAAACAAACACGCATGCATGCATGCATATCACTCGAACAATGCTGTAATGTATGTAAATAAAAAAATGAAAGATCCCCCGGTTTCTTCTCTCGCTCGTGGAGGGTCTACATGTATCGAAATCGCTTGGCTTGTTGTTCCGCAGCAGCACCGTCACCCTGCACGGGTGGATCAATCGATGCACGGCGGTTCACGCCTGTTTCCGCCGACAGGGCGGAATGAAGTCTCTTGCGTTGATCCGCAATATGATGGGCCAACAAGGCTCGTTGCTCGGCATCGTGGCGCGCTTGCGCTAGCATCGTGGCCGCATCCATGCGTGATTGCTGCAGGAAACTGGCAGGATTGCTGCTGCCCAAGAGGCTGGCAGAAGTGGAAGACGCCGCCAGAGCTTGAGGTGTCGCTGTATTGGCGAGAATGGAATCCAGCAAGGACGCTTCTACGGAGGAGATCACGGATCTGCCGTTGCTCGATGGGAGTCCTTGACGATGATTCGTCGCCAAGAGTGACGCCCCCAGAGGAGTGGATTCCATTCCCCCGAATCCGGACAGGCACAATCCTGCGGTGAGCTCGGAAGGGAGTCCAGCAGCCGGGTACAAAGCAGAAGTGGGAAGCCCGGATGCCGTCAGGTAGTTCATTGCTGCAGCTCCCGGTGGAAGGCCATTGAGGTAAGTATTCGAGAAAAGGCCAACACCGCCGTTGTGTGCAAACATATTCCCGGCAAGCGCGGACGAGGCGGGGGGCATGTCTTCCGCAGCTGCTGCTGCGGGTTTCTCTGTAGCAAAGGACGGCTTGCTGTTGGAAGAGGGAGGAGCCTTCGCTTTGAGAGTAGCAGACGGCTTGGATGCCTTGGTGTACGCCCGGCGGGGCTTCTTCTTGGCCAGGCCCTTCCTTCTAGCTTCAAACTCTAGCCTAGCCGCTTCGAGCTCATCACTGCGCTTTTTGGATTCTTCAGGAGTAAACGTAGCTGGCTTGCCAATGTATTGCTGTCGTCCATTGTAGCCGGAGCTTTCAAACTTTTTGGAGATTCTACAGCACAAGCGACAAGAGGAGAGCGCCAAGTCAGTCACGATCGCTCTCCTGCACACTCCGGTGCCCGCCGCAGTCCAGCTAGCTAGCTGCTGTTGACTTACCGCTTCGGAGCGCAATTGAGCATCTTTGCCAGATATCCTCTGAGTGTAACGCCATCTTCAATGTCCAAATTTCCACCTCTGAACTCTTGGATGAGCATCTCTGCGTAACGCTCCTCTTCCGCTTTCCATCGACCGTAAAAGAGGGGTTCCGCTTCCACGACCTCATCCACTGGTGCTGCTGCGTTCATTTCGCTCATGGTGGTGTTGTTACGTTGATTACGTTGATGTTGTTGTTGTCTCTATTGTTGTCTTTGAAGCTAAAAGGTGAAAGGTGCAATGGGTCAGAGGAGCGTTTGCGGTACCTTTTCTGCGCGCTTGGATGGGCTTGGTTGCTTGATTACTTGTGAAAGTGAGCTCTGCACTTTTGTGTGGAGTTCTTGATGAAATGGAAGTAAGCTCGTCGTGCAAAGCGCTAAAGTGAAGTCCCTTAGACGTGGTAGGATTTCTACATACACTGGGATGCTTCGGATTTTCCAGCCACGACAAGCCAAAGCGCACAGCTAGCTAGGCGCACGAAGGCCATTCGCTTGCTTTTTCCAGTGATAATGAAGCTTGGATGGCCAAACGTAACGTCGGCTTCGCATGTCATTTGAATAGCTACTCGATGGTGCGTTGCTTCAGAAACTTCAGAAACGTCTTCCGTCTTTCCCAAAGCCGATTGTCTAAGCAAGATTTACTTCAAGACATCAATAAACAAAGGACTACAAACCGAGATATATGAGACAACTTGTCTTTCTGGGCAATAAAGATTCCTTTTTGATTATAAGACAACAAAGGGTTTAACAGGAATGCTGCAAAACCGTTCCGTGAGCAAAGAAGGGGCGTCCTCAATATTTTGCCGAGTCCTACAACAATCAATTATTGACCTAAACATGCTACAGTAGATTTACTTCTCAGTCAATAATGATGGACGTTAAACCGTTGAATTCTAATGACGGAAGTTTATCTCTCTGATCCCCCACCAATGGGGAACTGATCTTGAGAATCGCTTCTGGGAGCACAGAGGATGTCAACAGAAAGAGATGTTCGGCTCGCCTAACAATCTTCAGTAGACAAACTTGACAGTGCATAAGTTGCTTTGTTGTTTAGAGGCGTAGAATAGGGAATTCGGAGGGCAAGAGCATCAAAAGTGTCCAGACGAGCGTGCGATCTGTCGCCACAACGAGGCTTCACCGGTCTCACGAGCTTCTTACCATATTCCCGGACATAAATAGTTGAACTTGGAGAGGTGGAAGTCCCAAAATTCTCCTGGGATGTCCGCTGGTGTCATCCCCGACCCCCGACGGAAGGGTTGTGTGAGGGGCGGCAAATCCGAAACAGTCAAAACGGGAAAACACGTCTTGGTTTTCGAGCCTTCAGAGATTGACTAAAACCGATAATTGAAAACCGATCAGATGCCAAAGTGTACTAGCTAGTCTAGCTATGCATAGTAGGCACACTGTATTGCCAAATTACTTTGGACAGGCTTTTAGTCGGTACGGATACTAGTAGGAAACAGTTACTTACCAGTATGCTATTTCCCGCGGCAACGCTGCAAACTTCTCCAATTTTTACGGCACAAACACAGAGTTCGCCTTAATCAGAGGCTTGTCCTTGCTGGGTAGGGACCGGTTGCGTCGGCTCAGGACAAGTGACTCGATTCGATTCCATTCGATTCCGAGCAAAGAGCACCATCAGTTCGATTCGATTCTATCCCAGCTACGAACGGTAGTACATGACTCAGTAGTTATAACTGTGTGCGAACGTAAAAATTGGTGGATTAAAATTGGGGGTCGCCACGGTTGATGGATGCAGTCTACGTACTCGGTACTCGTAGTGCATGTGGCGTACGGTTGTATCCAGCCAGCTAGCTGAACTGGTACCGTACCACTTACCAGTTCATTGCTACGTGCATGTATGTACTCCACTCTAGCTAGGTACCGTACGTACCTAGTCAAAAGAGCTGTCAAGAGCCAAGGTAAAGCGGTTACCACTAGGACATAGAGCAACCTTGCTCGCTTTGTCTATTTCCAGCAACCGTCCCGTTCAGTGAACTTCAGTCATGTCTGCCAGTGCCCTTTAGCTTCCCTTCCGTGTGGCCTCTGGATGGCCTCTAGCTAGGTGGAGACCGGAGACCTTTTCTTACTCTTTTCTTCGTGTCTTCTGCGGTGACTTCGTGAGTGTTAAAGTCCCAATACCACTGCGACATTGACCCTTATATCCACCAGAAGCACGTCCCACCAAGCCAACCAGCCTGACTGGCCGGCTCGCGGGACCGTCACATAGATGTAGATCCGGCAGATCCCCAACGGTCATTTACTAATGACAACGGGGACAGCCACCAAAGCCAATAGCTCATAATTGTTTCTAACCTCCAGTTAAACCCTTAGAGCTATTGACTTCAATAGTTAGAAAGCAATTCTCAACCACCGGTTACCGACCAATTTTAGACCACCGTTTACCGACAAGCCCGGTATCCAGCTCTAGTCTACATCAACCACCAACAGCACACACATACACATGAAGCGCATAAGTATGTCCGAATAAGGACTTCATACACTCAACACCACCAGATTCAACTTGGCGCGGCCCCACCGCACAGATCAACGCCTAAAAAAAGAAAACAAAGACATGCACGTCAGATCATAGCCTCCGCGGCAATGGCAACGAAGGACACTTACGCCTCTGCTACACCCTAGAAGGTTCAATGCAGGCCTGCAGTAGCCGGAACCATGGGTCGACCAGTCCATCCAGGAACACGCCCAGATGTCCCCGATGGAGCCACGGACCCCAATCACGCATGGTTCAGCACACAAGGACCTCACGAATTCCAGCTTCCAATCCACCAAAAGGCCTCTTAAAGACCATGGAAGCGTGAGAAGTCTACTACAAGCTTCACAAGACCCCGATGAAGGATACTCCACACTCAGCTACAATGACCACATTGTCCACCTCAACGAACAGTATGGAACCCTCACCAATGATGACCTTGACAAAAACATCGACCGCATGAACCAAATGGACACAACACAGCCATCGAACAGCTCTCCATCAGATCACCGATGCCCGCTCCTTCGCACGCGACCATGACAACATCACTGAAAGAGCCACCATCCGTTCTGCACTTAAAAATTTGGAAAAAAGCGGCGTTTTCACGTTAGCTCTCAAAGAATGGCGCAACGAAGCCGAAGACGACCAAACATGTACCAACTTACAGACATTCTTCGCCAACGCCAACACCGAACGCCTCCGCTCCATCACAACCAAACAAGCAGGCTTCCCCGACCAGCATTCAAGCCACAATGGCCAACAAACAGACTACTTTAGCTCAAGACATGGCGGAAACACCATGGCTACTGCTTGGGACCCACGGAGTCCAATGGGACCTAACCCACACCAGTCTCACTTGTCGCAACCGCCACAAAGACCACAACGTTCGAAAAGGCAACACAGTTAAACATGCTTGGCGGACGCTGGCAAGGTCAACGCAAGCCTGGGAACCGCCAATCTTTCAAGTTTCCAACAACAAAAACCCGGAACCGTCGCCCAAACAACGCGGGGACAAGGAACGCCGCCAACAGTGCCACCACTGACGATACAGACACGACCACTAACGACAGCACCACCGGCAGTGGCACCAGCACTCTCACTCCCTGAGAAGGAGAGGAGTAGGTAAAAAATAATCGTAAAATAAGTAAAAGTAATGACAGTAACCAGACCAACAAAACGAATACCGATCCCCCCACCACAAACATAGCAGACACAGCCACAACACGTACGGTTACACAGAGGACACATGCGCAACAGCAACCGGAACCCAACCATCAGCCGTCAAATGCAAACAACACATACGAACGCAACAAACACACCGCCGAACTGGCCATTGCCAACCTACCTCCAGCAGCAACCAAAATCAAACTTTTCCCCAACTTCGATAGCAATCTAATATCGATTGGGCAAATTTGTGATACCGACTGCACCGCAACATTCACCAGCACAGATCTCACCATAACAGACAACCCAACTGACACAACCATACCCAAAGGCTACCGCAATTGCACCAAGAATGGATTGTGAATACGACTGACACCTCCCTCACAAGCAATACCACAACCAAACCAACACAACAACTCCGAAAAACATTCCCGCCATGCTCCCATGCCCTCACACAGCGGCAATCCCAGAACAAGACACACCACAGACCTGGACGCTCCAGTTCCTCAGACTGTACGACCTCATCCACTGCTGCAAATCACAGACTCACCGACACGAATCCAGTCGTCCGCTTTGCACATGCGTCGCTCTGGCTCTACGAGGAGCACCACACCTCCTCCCAGCACTTGAAAAGGATATGTGCATGGATTCCCAGGCCTGACAGCCGCGACACTCAAGCGTTGGACGCCTAAGACAGTAGCAACTGCCAAGGGCCACTTCGAGAAACGGAAACACATCCACCAACAATCACACAATCTCCATTCCTGCAAATCAAAAACACCCACCAACCAAGCTCTCCAATCCAACCAAGCATAGACAATGATGAAATCCCTCTGCAACAACCGACGCATCAATGCTATGCAGCAATCTGGAACACCGACTATGGTAAGATCTTCAGCGATCAAACCGGCCGCTCCCCCGTCCCATCTTACCGAGGCCACCAATACATTTCCCTCCTGTACGATTACGACTCCAACAACACCATCGTCCGGCCACTACCCAACCGAAAGGGCCCCACCATTCTCGCTGCCTACAAGGACATCCACGATATGCTCGTCCACCGTGGGCACAAACCCCAACTCTACACGCTCGACAACGAATGCTCCTCCACGCTGAAGAATTTTCTGTCCACCAACACCGTACGACTACAACTCGTACCACCCAACACCCATCGACGCAACGCTGCCGAACGGGCCATCCGCACCTTCAAGAATCACTTCCTCTCCGTCCTCGCTACTACCGATCCAGACTTCCCAATGAACCTTTGGTGTGAGCTCCTACCTCAGGCCGAGATGACCCTCAATCTCCTTCGACCATGTCGACGCAACCCCAAACTGTCCGCCTATGAAGCACTCCACGGCCGATTCGACTTCAACGCAACCCCCATCGCTCCACTCGGCATGCGCGTCCTCAGCCACGAACCATCCCGCAAACGCGGCTCCTGGGCACCAAAAGGAAAAGATTCCTGGTACGTTGGACCCGCAATGCACCACTACCGATGCTACACCACGTGGATCTGGGGAACCAACAAAACACGCATCACTGACAGCGTAGAATGGTTCCCACCCCTACCCCTACAAGTCCCCGAACCACCACACGCCGAACAATTCTGGACGCATCACGGACTTCAAAACAATTTAAACCCAAACACATACGCGACAACCAAGACTTCTCACCGTACGTTTTACTCCGACAGCCTTCTATGGCTCCACGTTCCGGTACTCCATTTCCGAGGGTGCCGGCACCGATCCACCAACCCAAAAAAAGCCACATACTACACGACTACAGCTCACGCGATTACATCAATGGATCTCCACAACTGAACTATTGCACGACAGACCCACAACGCCAAAAAGCTTACCAGCAACGGCCTCTTGAGAATACTCGCGACTCTCGAAAAGCAGCGATGGGACACTTGTGGCAAAGGGCAACTGCAAAGAATTTGGAGCTACTCAATGGTACAAGGAAACCAAAGCACCACACCATGATAGTTCATCCCCAACACGACCCCCGCCGGGCGAATACCCGGTACATGCGCATTCGCGTCTCCTACAGGACCCAAAAGGAAGACCCCTACCGTGTTCCGACACACTGTGGGCGGCGATAAGATCGACTATCCCTTCGAAACAACAACAAAAAGCAGATTCCCACCACAAACTCTTAATCAACAGCGTCCCCAGTACACAGACGCCAAATTTTCATGACCATGGAATCATAAGATTGGACTCTCGTGGCAATCTCCCCATGACCGGGTTCATCGCGAACGGTCAGCTACATAGAAATACTGTGGTCCGTCATTAGCGGAAGAATCATCCAACCAGGTCACCGAAGCTCCAGTGAACAAAACCTCATCGACTGACCGGGATTCTGCTACGTGGCAATCGACGGCGGCATGTACGGCCTACCCCAAGCAGGACGCGTTGCCAACGACCGACTCGTCCCACATCTCGCCAAACACGGCTACCACCAATCCAAACGAGTGCCAGCCCTCTTCAAACACGAAACCAGACCAATCGCCTTTGTTCTCATCGTCGATGACTTCGGTGTCAAATACGTGGGCGACGAACATGCCGCCATCTTGAGGCGGCGCTCAAACAAACAATACACAATCTACTACCGACTGGACGGAGCCTCTACAGTGGCATCCACATGAAATGGGATATACCAACGCACTTGGACCTATCCATGCCGGCTACATCGAAACCCGCAACGATTCAACCATCCAACACCAACAACCGGAACACCCCATAAGTACCAACTCTCCACTATGGCGTACAAATGACAGCCGACCAGTACTCCACCCGCTAGACCAAAGGCCACCAAACGAACCCAACAGATCTCGGTGTACTACTCTTCTACGCACGGGCATTGCAACACAATGCTCACAGACCCAGCGCCATCGCCACTAAATCTTCACCAAACCAAACCCTCAAAGCCTGCAACAAACTAATTGATACGCAGCACTATCCCAAGCCACCATCCGCTACAAACATAGCCCTATGGTTTTACGCATTGAAGCGATGCCTCCTACTTAAGTGAACCAATGCACGATCACGAGCAGCGGCTACTTCTATTGCCGACAGCACCACTCCACACAAAAACCTCTTACACGGGACCCATCTAGTCATCAGCCCCATTCTCAAGATGGTTGTTCCTCAGCAGAGCTGAAACCGGAGCTGCCTTCGAATGCGGGCAAGAGGGATGCCCCCTCAGAACCACACTCGAATACCTAGGCCACAACCAAGACCTAATGCGCTCGAAACAAAGTCGCAGAAGGCATCCAATGACACCGTGAAGCCAAAACGCTCCAAGGCCATGATATGCGCTTCTACTGCTGCAAGACCGCGTCAACCAGAACCAGTACACCGTGTACTGGCAACCGGCTCACTCAACCTGCCGACTACCTCCAAACACCACCCAGCCAAGCATCACCAAAAGATGCGACAACCTACCTTATGAACCGACACCACACACAGCTCCACCATGCCTTCACCAAGCCAACAACACCAACAACTCCGTACTCCTTGTGCGAGGGTGTGTTAAAGTCCCAATACACTCGACATTGACCCTTATATCACCAGAAGCACGTCCCACCAAGCCAACCAGCCTGACTGGCCGGCTCGCGGGACCGTCATATAGATGTAGATCCGGCAGATCCCCAACGGTCATTTACCAATGACAACGGGGACAGCCACCAAAGCCAATAGCTCATAATTGTTTCTAACCTCCAGTTAAACCCTTAGAGCTATTGACTTCAATAGTGAGTTTGGCTCATTCCTCGTGCAAGCGAAGCAACTAGCCAACCACTCCAGCTAGCTGGCTGAAAGAAAGAGCGCACACAATCACTACTATGGCATGTGGCTGGCATACTAGTACCATTAAAATAGTAGCTAGATTGATCCAGATATTGCTACTAGCTAGTAGGCAGCCTAGCTAGCTAGCTAGAAGACCAACAACAATTTGGAGTAATAATCAGCAATTTGTTTAGATCTTTCTTGCACGGCCGCAGTAGGCACCAACATTGTTTCTTTTGCAAGCTTGGGGTGAGAAACGAAGAAGTAAAAAGATTTATAGGTGAGAATTAGGAACAAAAAAGCGAAACAGAGGTGCAGGTGCAGTTGTCATTCCTTGGTCTAACTATTAATAATGCTGATTGGCAACCAAAAAGGTGAACAAACAAAGAAGAAGTGCACATACATACTGAGTAATACTAGAAAACGCTTCTTCTTTTCGAGGGTTGCAAGGTGGCTTCCTGCTGGAATGCACTTCACTCCTTTGAACAATCAATCAAAATTACTACATGTAGTTAGTTGTAGGCAGCCATATCTAGCTAGCCGGCCGGAGAGAAACAGTGGGAAAGTAGGAAATGACAGGATGGAAAGAAGCGAAGGACACCGTGAGTGAAAAGATGGCCTCCCATCGCAAACCAACCGCACCCAAATGCAAGACACGAGGAGAGGAGATCCGAACTGCATGCCGAAATCGGATCGAAACAATCCGAACTCGATTCGAAGATTTTGACACTTTCAGTCCCTTTTTATGCGTCATGAGGAAAGACGGCACTCCGAAATGCCGATGATCGTTTCCATCGCCGCAATTTGCTGTCCACCGTTGGTCAATACCGCCATCATCGGAGAGTCAAAGCAACCCGTTCTCATACAATTCTACCATCCTGGTCGGAGACCTCTCGTGTCGATTCCTTGAAGAATTTTTATTGTTGCGGTTATTACCACTGAAGCCTTTCCAGTTGCCGCACACCCGCAATACCGCAGGATAGTGCCAAGGTGGTCAGAGTGAGTGAGCTACCGTAGCTGAGCCTCTTCAAGTTGGTACCGGGTAATTCGGATCGTATCCAGAGCATCCATCCAGCATCATGTCTTCTTCTTCCCAGGAGGATCAAGACTGCGCCAATCTGGCAAGAGCCGCCTTGTTTCCCAAACGGATGCATCGCGATGTGGCCGACGCCTCGCACTTTCCGGCCCTTCTGCAGTTGGATCTACTACGCAATCAAGTCCTGTCGTCGACGCCCAATGCATCCATCTCCTCGGTCTTTCCCCGCCACGTTTTGGTAGTCCGAAACTTGGCCGATGGAGGCACTCAATGGAATGGAGAACCCGATCTAGATGACGATGGCGCGCAATCATCCTTCCAAGTCATTCCCGATCGTTTGTCCGTGACGTGTAGTAGCCGCCAATGCAAAGATTTGGTGTCGTCCCAACGAGCATTTCGTCGTACCATTCGCGGGGAGGAAGAAGAAATTGTCTTGTGCAGCGATCGTATTTTGAAACCGGATAGTCAAGACAAACGATACAAGGGCGTCGCCAGGGAATTGCCACCCAAATCCTACCAAGCAGTAGAAGAAGTCTTGGCGCATCAACTCGTACAAGTACGCAGCAATATCCACGACAACAATGCGGCAAAAGTACAATTGGACGCGGCGAAAGCGGCCGAATGTTACTTTAGTCGTCATGCGTACGAAGGAACGATGCAAGTCAAGAAAGGATCGCGTCTGCAGACGGGATATTCGTGGTTGCCTAGTTTTGCTCAGAATTGGTCCATGAACAAGTGCCTTTCGGCCGTCGCCATGGAACAGTTGGTGGCACAAAAATTATGTCAAAACAAACAAGATGCCAAGGAAGCGGTCCAAGCTGCCTTGAAGAAGAATCAGGAGCAGCAATAGCAGTGAACGAAACATTTAGTAATGATCGTAAAAAGTACCAGTAGATGGTTGTGAGAACTTCCGCTGTACTAGCTTGCTAGTTGGAATTTCTTCTAGTTAGTTGGATGGATCGAATCCAAGTCTTTCTCTACCGGTAGCCACTATTAATAGCTACTTGGCAAGTAAATACCGGGCATTCGTCAGTACAGTAGTATTATGTTGGTCGGAAGCCCAAGCATGCCGATCGTTGTTGCTTTGATGGCAACGTACCTAAAACACCCAGGCATCAATCTCTTCAAGGTTGTAATGTAGGACTCATGAACGAAGAAGGGAGCAATGAATTCATTAAATTGTCGTCTAGTTAGTTGCACCAAATGTTGCCTCTTGTTGTTGTGTTTGATTTCCAATCCAGGCCCAACTTAGGCTGACATTGTGAGGCATGCTCAGAGCCCTCCCTTGTCCATCCACAGGCGCCAGCCACCACTGCTGGTCCTCCAATAATTACTACAGCCCACCTCCCGGCCCCACTCCGGTTCCACACCAAGTACGGTACATACCCTGGCCAACACCCAGGAGGACTCCCACATTCAAACATACGATAATATCCAGTACGACCTGATTTACAACAGGTTATACTCCAGGTCCCAACACATCTGGAAGCACTCCATGACCTAGTGCCGTACACCCTTGAGGCAGGAGTATAAGAACGAGTATCACGCATTGAATTAGTGGGAGTCGAGTGTCTTACATGTAGGTGCTTGAGGACAAATCAGATGTAATGATTTAAAATCATCGTTCCAAAGCTCTCGCTCTCAAGTGCTTCGCAGACAAGGACAGGGAGTACCAGTACATGTAGTGGAGTCTGAAACGGAACTGACTTTTTTTACCCTGCCTGAGGAGGTTGCCCCCCGAGATCAACTCCCACCACGAAGACGCAGTATCCACGAATGAATGATTTTCTGCGATTTCCGTTTCCTCGTCAATTTTTCGGCGACTTGCTCTTTGGGCATTGCATGGATGCTCTTTCATGCCTTGCTTGTGTTTCATCGAAAGCAGAAGAAGTCAGAAGACAAGAAATAAGAGATACACTGGGAATCATACAGTACAGTACTATCATAGTTTCGTCGAAAGCAGAAGAATTCAAACGACAAGAAACAAGAGATAACACTAGCTAGCTAGCAAGCCTCATCAAACAATACGGTAGCAATGTCGCAACAAGAAATAGAAATATCTCAGTCCAAAGATGGGCGGCCCGAACCATTCGTGGTCAGTTTGTACAGCATGCAGGAAGCCATGATGGAACGGGAAAACTCGTCACTCTCCCAATCCAAGTCGGGGCAATCGCAACAGTCTGCCCATGTGGTTGTCAAAGAAAACACATATGTGGCATTGGGAGGCGCCGCCTTGGTAGATGACTCGCCTCTGACAAGAAACGAAATCATGACGATCCGACGAATACTCAACAGCAATCACCAGGACCGGATATTCTCGTCGGCTTCTACCGAATCGACGGATGCCAACAGCGAATACAGTGAATTCCCAGAAACCACGCACGCATGGGCCGTGTTTGCGGACAAGCCGCAACGAAATGCCAACAATGTTGATCGATTTGTGGGCACAACAATTATCATGTTCCAACTGCTCTCATACGCGCTCTTTGTCATGGAAGCGATCGAGGACTATCAAAGAGGCGTGGTGCCCGTCATGACGACACACGACAATTGCCAAGAAGAAGGTGAAAATCCATACAACAACTTTATTTGCGAAGCCGAAGTGACGAGCCATTTTGATGCCTTTGTGGCATTTTCCATGCTCTCCATCTTTTTAACGCCCGATATCATGCAAGCCTTTCGTGCCGTACGATCGGCGCCGTTTGGTCCCACCATGTTCTTTGCTGGATTGGCCGCCATTGAGGTGATTGGCGCGTTCCTTGCCGCCACCGTGGCGATCAGTTACCAATTGTTCATTGGGGAAGTGACGGACGCCATTGAAGTCGGAGTGGGACTCTTGTTTGTTCGTGAGCTCAGTGCTCGTGCCTATCATGGTATCCGACACAAGGGAGTCAAACAATACAAGTCCTATGCCCTGGTAGTGACATGCCTGCTGGGCATTGGGTTCATCATGGAGACACTTTGCGAAAACACCTTGTCAAACCAGAGAATGGAAGCTTACGATGACAGACAATAAGAAGCTGCTGGCACTGGCACTACTTTGAATTATGACGTTTGATAGCATGCGTCGACCGTGAATACCACTTCCAGGAGAGCGTAAGGCAGCCGATGCTCGCACCCAGCTAGTAGCCTTGCTGAAGTAAAACGTGTGTGGTCGTACCGTACTGTAAATTGAAAGCATATTTAGTTTAGAGAACCTCATTGTTGGACTCTCTCAAGAGTTGTAATGACTATTCCTATTAGTTCACGATGCATAGCTAGGCTCAGTGTGAAGTAGACCTGGTGGAAATATGCCTTCTGCGTCTAGGTTTGCCTCTGACGGACGGAGCAACGCTACGTGTTGCTGCAAGACGTGTTGCATCACCCGCATCCTTGGGACCATCATTGTGGGGAATCCTCTTCGACTGTTCCGAACCTTTGTGAACTGATGATGACTTGTTCAAAGATACAAAGTCCAAATTACTCAGATCAATGCCCTTATTAAGGCGAGCAGGCTGGTGATTGACGCTTTCATCCTGATCTGCAAACTCCATTTTGCTCTCGTTCAACGCTTGTTGGATCTCTTTCTGCAGCACTCGTTGAATATGGTAGCTCTTTGGCATACATGACTCATAACTCTCAGTGTTGAAACCTCTTGTACCGGTAGAGGATCGACCAGAGCGAGTGCTCCCATCAGAAATGCGTTTGCGTGGAAAGGACGTTGGTCTCTTGGGGGATAGACTTCTTGCTGTCCTTGGCGTTTCCTCGACTTTTTGGCTCGGAGTAAGGCGTGGCGGCGGTGTTTTGGACTTGCGCCCTGGCCCGCTTTTTTTCTTTCTTGGTGTGCGCACAGGAACTGTACGGCCACTACTACCATCATTCATTGACTCGGGCTTCTTCATTCTGCGGGTTGTTCGCCGCCTATCGCTGGCGTTCTCCGAATGCGCAGAACCTGGTTTCATCGAATGCGATCGACGAGACGTCTTGGTCTCCGACGACGATCGTCTGTGACAACTATGGCTCCTGCGTGTTGGTCGCGTAGATCTGGTGCTCATACTAGAGTCCAAATTTCTTGGTTCGTCCTTTGTTGACCTGCGTCGGCGATGACCTCTCTTCACCTCTCCTCCAGCAGACAATCTCGTTTTGGGACGAGTCCGCTTGCTGTCATCGAGAGCCCTGGCACCGTCCTTGTTCACGTTAGCATTGGTGAAAGGTTGACAGCTTCGACTCCTGATGCCTTTGCTTCCGAGACTGTTCCTGTCCGCTCGGCTCCTTCGTGTTGTGGGGCTCTTTGCATCATTAGTCATCTCCTCGGGAAGGCGCCCTTCGTGAACGCTACCGGCGCTCTTCGGTTCCGTATCCTCCAGATCTAGCAGCATGAAATTTGGGGTGTCGGGCTTGAGATTCGGCTGCGGGCCGTAAGTTGCTTGCTCGTGACGCACTGGCGAAGTAGGGAAAACTTGAAACCCTGCCATAGTTGCAATGGCGGATGTGAAGAGTCCGATGCTTGTTCTGGCTTTAGGGATCTCTTGCTCCGCGGCATTTACTCCGCCCTCCGTTCTTTTGGAAACTCCGGCATCGCTCGATCTCGTGGACTCGGAGGCCACGGTTTCAGCACTGCAACCCGAGGTCGGAGCACGAGACAGCGCATAGGACAGACGATCTGCCTTGGCTAGATCAGTGAATCCCCGGCCCTGCAAGGATCCAATCGGTGATGTTTCCGTCGGTGCAAAAGCTTTCATCATGGTGCTCGCTTCAATAATTTTGTGCTGTGCTAGCTAGCTAGTGGTACCACAAACTAAAATTGTGAGCTAAGATCCAAAAGGAACCTCTAAAAATCCACTCCTTTGCGGTTGCGGTTTTGGAAAAAAACATGATTGAAGCAGCTACTGTACGACTGTACTACGGTAGTATCGATGCTGCTGCTGGGACATCTACATGTACTAGCTAGCTAGCTCATGTTCTACATGCACGTACATGTAGAAACTCAGCCCCACCGTCTGTGCTCGTACATGACAATGTGTACTGCTGCTGGTTCACTGGCACTCACAAAGAATTATTCTTTGAAAAAGAGAAGGTTGAAGGTGTACAACCAGTGGGCACTCTACATAATTCATTGTGCCCAGGGGAATCTTGCGCGCTTCTGGAACATGGCTTCAGAGAGATAAACGACAGTACCCTGGGAGTCTGGAGGATCCAAGGCGAGTTGAACGTTTCGAGCTGGCTAACAGAGCACAGCAGCAGCAACGGGCGCCGAGTCACGAGATAGCTATGTAGCCGTGTCACGTGTCACGGCAGAGGGAGCCTTTTTACCAGGTAAGGTGATGGTACCAGATCTATCTTTGGACAGATAGTTTTTGAAACAAATAGCTGGTTCCTGGCCGGCCCATCTAGACTACAAGCTTGCCAGCAACATGTGGCTCGACCTAGACCTGGCTAAGCTTCCAATGGACATGAATGGTTTAGGAGGACTAAGTACGGGACACAGGCTGGTGCAAAGAACGCTTCGCACTGTGGCCGACCAGCTACAATCTATTGGAATATTGGTTATCACAAGTGTTGCCCTGTGCATGAATGATCTGCCAAGAAACTACAGCGAACCATTGGATTGCCACAGTCGCAGCCCTCCGTGAGAAGAGATGGATGTCATCTTCATAGTTAGTTCCGTAGAAACACACAGGTTGATGGAGCTAGCCTGGCATGGAAGTATCATGGCACCCTACAGGCAAGTAGGCTGAACATGCCCACAAATCCAATAATCCACTGATTGGCTCTTGCAATTGCACTAGAGGTTCTTGTCTACCATCGTTATCAAAATTCTGCGGCATCATGTCATCATTGATGGATTCTACCTGCTCTCGAAGTCCCCGTCACTGGGACAGCCATTTACTTGTGCCCACTGTAATATTTCGAAGTGCCCAGCACCTCTAGCCCAAGAGCATGTCAAACTGTCCCATGGGCAGCCATGGTTATGGGCCCACTCCAAAACTTCGAAATGGCCACCCTTGGCAGCAATGGCACAAGTACGTTCACTCCATGAGCACCCATTGGCTCGGGCCCATTTCAATATTTCCAAATTTCCCTCTTTGGCAGCATCAAAGGTTGCCTTTTCTGCCCACGGACAGCCACTGGCTCTGGTCCAGCTTGAAACATCCATGCGGCTAGCCTCGTCATCACTAGCATTCCATGGAAGCTGGCAGCCATTATCGCTGGCCCATTTCAATACATCCAAGTGACCACCTTCAGCAGCATCTAGACAGGTGTTTGAATCCCACGGACAGCCGTGCTTTCTTATCCATTTCAACACCTCCAAATGACCAGCTCTAGCAGCTCTTCTGCTTGTTGTTGAATTCCATGGGCAACCATTCTCATGAGCCCATTGAAGTATTTCGAGGTGCCCGTCTTTGGCGGCATTATGGCATGTAACAGCATCCCATGGACAGCTATTGTCTCTAGCCCATTTCAACACTTCCAGATGCCCATTTCTAGCAGCAGCAGCAGATGTCCACCAGTTCCATCGGCATCCATTTGCCCGTGCCCATTTTAAAACTTCCAAATGCCCCTCACTTGCGGCTGCAATGCATGTCATTGATCCCCATGGGCAGCCATTCTCTCTTGCCCATTGCAGGATTTCCAGGTGTCCACCTTCAGCAGCATCATGGCATGTGTGTGAATCCCATGGGCAGCCATGGTCTCTAGCCCATTTCAACACAGCCAAGTGACCGCCTCTGGCAGCACCAGAGCATGTCCTTGCATCCCAAGGGCAGCCATTTGCCCTAGCCCATATCAGCACATCCAAATGGCCACCGTTAGCAGCTGCTGCACACGTCCTTCCATTCCAGGGGCATCCATTTTCTCTAGCCCACTTTAGCGCAGCCAAATTGCCACTGCGAGCTGCCCAAGTGCATGTCTTTTCACTCCATGGGCAGCCATTTTCATGGATCCATTTTAATTTTTCAATGTGCCCGCGTTTAGCGGCGGCAGCTGCAGCGCAGGTACCCTCATCCCACGGATATCCGATTTCACGGGCCCAGTGAATCACTGGTAGACTGCCGAATTTGGCAATCTTTGTGCAAACAGCATCATCTGGCAGTGATGCCTCGCCAAGATCATCATCCCGCCAATACTTTGCACTCGGTACATTGAAAAATACAGCGCTGTAGAAAGTATCTCTGCTGGTGGAACTGCGTGTCTGATCAGAAGCCTGAATGAAAACCTTGGGAGGGTTGGGCTCATGATTGCAATATTCCTGATAGAAGTGATTCATTTGCTTGGTGACGGCTCCGACAAAAGCAAAATGCCCCATTCCCACAAAAGGAAAGATATTGTTGACCCAAACATCCTTCTGGCTCCAAAGGACGTGATCTCTGGTGGCTTTCTTGCGATGTGGTGTAGCTGCAGCGATCTCAGACATGACGGTTTCTTTGCATGGATTTGTATGCATGTTCGTTTGTTGTGAGTTGAGCGCTAGTCCTTGTCTTTGACACCAAAAAGCTCTGGAACGTCGCTGGTTCCTGCACATTGCGAACCCCAACAATGGCTTCACCCGCCAATAAGCTTGCTGCTTCGTCTGCATTTGCGAACTGGAAGGAAGGGTTCGCGAAGCAGTGACATCAACACAAAGTTCCGAGACAGTTACAAGTAGATGGGCAAGCGTGCGTCTGAAGTCTGAAACGACCAAAGACCTTCCCGTTCCCCACACAGCTACAGCACCTGGTACCAGGTACCTGCTACTACCGATACCCCCGCTCTGCCTAGCTTATAACCCGCCTACCGGTACTTAGTATTTGTTCTCTGGGTACTCATAACACCGTACGGCTACAGGGTAATTCATTGGCCTGCAAGGGTCTTACCGCTAGCTTCAAGGTAAATGTAATTGCTGGTAAATGTAATTGCTAGCTAGCTACCATGCAGTACCTGGTACCAACCTTTCATAATAGATGCCACACGCCAAGCGACTGCAAGGGATGAGTCAAGCTAATCCTAGTAGTTCTCAAATCTTGCGCAGTGCGCGGCGTCCAATGCGATTGAGACGAAGCAAATATCGAAGCTTCTCCCCAATGGGAGTTTGTACGAGCTTGGCCGGGAGGATGTCGCAGGCCTCCAAAGTTGTGTTGCTGGTCTGCAGCAAATCCACAAGACGACGATACAGTTGGTGGCCCGTTGAGATTGGCATCGCGACCGGTGTACGGCTACCCGCTTGCAACACACGGAGCGGAGGATTGCTTCCGAGCAACGACTTGGCACCGAAGAGCAAGGCACAGTTCTTGCAGATCTCGACAAAATTGAAGGAGAGTGGATACTGGCAGGGTGAAGTCGTGGGGCGCCCGATAGGCCGACCGATGGGGATGCCAATGGCGGCGCTAACCCGCCAGCTTGATCTTCTCCAGGGACGGGATCCGTGCCAATGCTCGATGAACAAAGCGGAGGAAGTCGGGTGGTGTGGACTCTGATTCACCCCAGTACTCAAACGACTTGAGGCATGCTTGGCTCCAGGGATCCGCGGGAACCTGGTAGCTGTCCCAAGAGGACGTGACACCAATCTTTGCTCCACGGACGAATATGCCTTGCTGCAGAGCTGGATTCCAAAGGGATAGCAAGGGCTTCACGGACTTAATTCGGGGTCCCACAATTTGTAGGAGAGGAAGAGGGGATGACCTGCGGCCCAGAGAGTCGGCCAACATTGCTAAGTTTGCCTGGTCGAGTACGATCTTAGGAGCAGAGGAGTTCAATGTCAAGCTCTGCAAAGATTCAAGGGAGGCCACTTTTGCGCCAAAAAAGGTTGGGGGGCATCAAGAGGTCCATATAAATGCGCACCGTCTTCAAGCGTTTACTGTCCAGCAGAGCCCGCATGATGACAGGGAACGCAGCCGGGGTGCTTTCGGTGACAACATGCATAGGAGGAAACGAAAACGACTCGAGCCGAAGAATTAGCACTGACAACTTTTTGGCATCGGCGAGATCGATATTACCGTTGAAGGGGATGGTTGAAAAGACGAACTCTCTGATCTCTGTGTCAGGGAGTAGGCTCACAATATTTCATCGTCTTTTCCGACACAGCTTTGCTTGATAGAGCCATGTCCAGCACATGGTGGTTGCAACATGACGGATCGTTGCCAACCATAGCTTCAATGGAATCATTGAACACCTGGATCACTGAAGGGCTGTATAGTGGCAAACCGAGGGAAAGAAGTCCATCAGCTTCTGAACAGGCGACCAATCAGCGCGGTACCGGTACCCCATGCCACCACGGTACCGGTATCGCACATCACTGGAACAGAAAACATCTCGAACAAAAAGACGAGGACATCCCCATGGACACGGCATAGCTCCAGTACTAGAGTCAACATTTGAAAACGGTTCTCGCAACGAAGGCAAGAAGACGTGGGATGCATTTCGTGAACAATTCTGACATCTTTCAGGCATCCCCAAAAGCCACTAGAAAGAAAAAAGGAAACTTGGAGGCCAGCTCGGATCCGTGTTTTCGAACGCTATGAAACGGAAACTTCTCTGTCGCAAGAGTTGGAAACTTCTTCAGAATTCCCACAGCAGCTTGTATTCGATAGTGCTCCGCTCCGCTTCACGGTAACGGAGGCTCCACTGGTAACTCGGTCGTAATTCAAGGAATATCTTCCTCAGTTTGCAGCGAGCGGAGATTCACCATCTTTACTTTACTTTGTTTGGTCTATGGCAGGCCTGGAGAGGTGCTTCCATTTGCACGAAACGGAGCATCGACCCTCTGATCAGTCGTTGATCACCGGGAGTGAGTCCATGGCTGGAATGAGCGTTTTGAGAAAGTGCGCACAAGGTTTGTCTGTTCTACTGCTTCAGGCTCGTCCCTTTTGGAAGCGACTTGGAATAACAAGAAGCGTCCTTTGTCATTGAACATACATTCGGGAAGGGATCATCCACCACCTCATGACAGGAAAAAACTATGTATTATCAAGGTCTAATCCTAGGATCTATTTGGTAGGGGGGAGCTCACAGAGCAGCAGTCTACAAGGCTGCAGTTGGCCCGAATCTCCAGCAAGCCACTTCCAACTCGGTCACAGAGCGTTGTAGGGACTGGTCCAGAAACGTTTGTATAGGACAGGTCCAAAAGAGTCAGATTGGTCAACTCACCAAGCTCTGTGGGTATCATACCAAACAAACCTGGATTGCCGTGGAAATCAATGGTTTCCAAAGCTGGGAGTACTCCCAGTGCGGTTGGGATGGTTCCAGTGAGCAGATTATCCGCATTCCCATAGTAGAAGAGACTCTTACTGTTAAACGTCTCTGAAAGCTTGCCGCCATAGAGCCCAAAGAGATTGCTGGAAGCATTCACGATTTCCAACTTGGTCAAGTACTTGTGGAGGGGATCCATGTATCCAAGCAGAAAGTTGCCATCCAGCTTGATGATTCGTATCCCAAAAGGTCTGAAGCCACCACTGGAAGTCAACTGACCTTCAAAGTTGTTGTTGGATACAATGAACACCTCCAGGACTTCATTGGTTGCAGCAGCCCCGGCTGGAACAGCCCCATGCAACTGGTTGTTCCCAACATCAAATGTCAGAATATTTGTTAGTACTCCATTGACTATTGGAAGGGTCCCCTGCAGATTGTTTGAATTTAGGTTGAAAATGAGGAGAGTGTTGTTCTCATCACAGACAGGATAGTTGTCATAGTGTAGAATGCTCTCGTTGTGGGCCTGTGTGAACCAGTCACATTCATTGATGTTATAGCTGAGCCAGTAGTCATTTCGGAACCAGTTGTGACCATTTGTCGCGTAGTACCAGTATGCCAAGTCAAACCTTTGACGTTGTCTTTCATGAGAGTAGTTTGCAAAATTAGGGTCATTCCAAATCCAGGCATTGGCAAGATAAGCGGGGGTGGATGTGTTGAGGATGGCCTTGAGTGTGCTTGTGAGCAAATCATCCTGAAAGGGCGGATAGATGATGGGAGAGTTATTGGCTGCATCATGCACAGTCTGACTGCTATTGCTACCAACACTCAATGAGCTGGAAGTCGAAGGAAGGTACAAAGCAAGAAAAACCACCAAACCAGTCACAGCCAGGAAGGCCAAGCCTAACCAGGGATACACATTACTTTGGACATCACTGTTCTGCATGATTGTTCCTTCAATCACCTCTTCTTCTTCTTTGTTGCCTTTATGGCTTGTCCCTTCTTCCATGAAGACTGTTTTATCTGCAAGAGATGTGTCATTATCAACAAGAACAGCTCCGTCGATGACTGCTTCGCTGTTGTCATGGTTACTGTTGTTGTTCATCACTCCACTGCTTCTTTCTTCAACCACACCAATTCCTTCCACGGCAAAGGCCCCGACTTGTGAGATAGTATTTTTTCGCGGTCGTTGGCTCTGTTGTCCTTGAACATAGCCTCCTGAGTCATCTTCTGGGTGTTGCCATTCTTTGGCCACCAATACCCGATGCTTGTCTGTTCTGCCTTCTCTGACCAAATCCTTTTCAACAGTTCTGTGAAATCTTGCACCATCTTCAATGTCCTCACCAAGAACATGGCGTACTATCTTTTCCCTCTCATCGGAGTGGTACTCGCGTCTTGACTTGTCGCGTAGTATCCTATCCTTCTGATACAACTGGTACACGTGTCTCGACTCGCCGTCATGGTGGCCAGATGTGTCTACTTGTACATTGGTGTCCTTTACTTTGTGGTTCTGGTAATGGCGTCTCGACTCGCCAGATATCTCATTGTTGGTGTCCTTTACTTTGTAGTTCTGGTTCTTTGCTTCATCATGAATGACCACCGCCTGTCGATGGTGCTCAGTCTGCACGGGCTGGTCAACATGGAATTCCTCCTCCTCCTTGGCCTCTTCATGTTGATGGGTGGTCCTCTTTTTGGTTTCGGTCTCTTTCTTCATTGCCTCTGTCCACCGTGTACTATTGCTTGATCTTTTTTGGCTTTCCAAAACAAAATAAATAATGGAGAATGGATGTGGTTGTATGGAGTATGGAGAATGGATGTGGTTGTATTTGATGCCCGTTTTGACTACTTTCTTATGCTCCAGTCTCCAGTGGTACAGTGGTACGGTGTACAGTGTCGCTCTTACAGCATCAGACTGCATCAAGGGAGTTTTGTAACCGGTACAGCGACTCAAGGTGAATCGTGCCATAATTCATTGGATTTTCTCAAACTATTAATGTGAACCTCAAACATTCCAGTATGCTTCGGGGTCTCCTTACAATAATTCTCTGTTATTGGCTACTTGAGAAATTGTCTTAGAGCAAAACGGCTGCATTCAAGTGCCCAAGGCTTCTGGTAAAATACTACTGAGTACTAGTCTAGGTAGTACGGTAATTGAGTATTGCGACGTTTGTGTTTTCTAATTTTTGCCGCCCCACCTTCCACCGTATACGGGGATGAATCGCGAATGTTACCCGGATCGAGCTACGGTAGTATGGTAGCTTATGGTAGATTAATTAAACCCAATTCCAACAAGAAAGCTCCACTAAGCTTGACTTAGTCTGGGACCACATTGACTGTCGGGATGAGTTTTTAAAGAGTATGACCAGTACAAGGTCAAATACAATTTGGGAGTTGTTTTGGGGCAAGCACGACGTGATTGATCATTCATGATGTCCGCTCCGTTGCGTTTTGAGGCAATTTCCATGCTTATTGCGGTACTTGTTGCGACTGCGCAGCTGCACGATCACTGATGTGAATGTCGCCATTCTTTATTGCCTCCTTCTAAAGAAAGATCTCCATGGATCCAGAACATCTCCATCACGCTGAACCGGTAGACTACCGTGCTCATGTCGTAATTCCTCTGATCTTCACTCAGTACATGCATACAACATACAATCCTGGAGTCAGTAGATCTACTAGCTAGTCCTGTCCGGCGAGTCGCGACTGCAGCGACCTTTTCTCGCAGCGCGCCTGAGCAACACTCCAGCAACCAACACAATGAAGATGGAAGATGGACACAATGAAGAGAGGCAATGAAGATCGATCCACCGCAGCGTCACCTCAGTCGATCGCTACTACTACTTTTATTATGGGAGGTAAGTTTATTTTCAAGTTTATTGTTGAAGGCGCAGCACTGACTTCTCTCCCTCGTCGAACTACTATGACAAACGGGAGAGAAATCCAAGCTTGACTGACAACAGTGTGTTGAATCGATCCAACAAAAACTGGTACAGATAAGCCCACTATCAAGAGTGTTCTTGAAGGTGCAGATTCCTCAGTTATTTCGTTGGACTGTGGGAAGGCAGTCAGATCTTGGCCATCCACAGGTGAGTTGAGTTGTCGTGGTGAGGTTCTTTTATTTAAGCCAATCGATCGGTTGTACCATTACCTCTACGATCATGCCTAACTCAAGCGGACCGTCTCTAGACCTAGTAGGTCAGATTCAAAAACCATCCTTCAGTGAATCCTATGGACCATGGGAGGGCAGTCAGTTCTTGGCCCGCTGACCGTCAAGTTGGTGATTTTTCAAGAACAAAGGGTGAGTTGCCGGTTTTCGCAGTGGTGTATGAGAATAGAAGAGAAAATTTTATCCATTTCCTACGTTCTATTCTCTTACTGCTGCCGGTCGATGAAACACATTTGTCCATGGCGCACCGAAGTGAACGGATTGGCGTCGAATAATTGAAAGGCAACAGTCAACCGAAAGAGGCCGCACGAGAACACACAAGTCTTTTCTTATCGATCGATCACGAGTGGCTGCTTTATCGACGGCCTACCAACGAGAATCCTCTATGGCGACACTGCGTATCCCATCATTAACACTACGAATAGACCCAGTTACAGCCACACAAGCAGCGCAATCCGTCTCCATGGTCTTAGTCGACTGAATCAAAAGATATCTCCCAAAAACGGATTCCAATTCCATCGCACGAAACGAAGCGTCAGTCGACCCATCAGTCAATGATCACCCAGATGATTTAATGCTACCAAAGGATCTATTTGGTGGCATTCACAGAGCAGCAGTCTACAAGGCTGCAGTTGGCCCGAATCTCCAGCAAGCCACTTCCAACTCGGTCACAGAGCGTTGTAGGGACTGGTCCAGAAACGTTTGTATAGGACAGGTCCAAAAGAGTCAGATTGGTCAACTCGCCAAGCTCTGTGGGTATCATACCAAACAAACCTGGATTGCCGTGGAAATCAATGGTTTCCATAGCTGGGAGTATTCCCAGTGCGGTTGGGATGGTTCCAGTGAGCAGATTATCCGCAACCCCATAGTAGTAGAGACTCTTACTGTTAAACGACTCTGAAAGCTTGCCGCCATAGAGCCCAAAGAGATTGCTGGAAGCATTCACGATTTCCAAATTGGTCAAGTACTTGTGGAGGGGATCCATGTATCCAAGCAGAAAGTTGCCATCCAGCTTGATGATTCGTATCCCAAAAGGTCTGAAGCCACCACTGGAAGTCAACTGACCTTCAAAGTTGTTGTTGGATACAATGAACACCTCCAGGACTTCATTGGTTGCAGCAGCCCCGGCTGGAACAGCTCCATGCAACTGGTTGTTCCCAACATCAAATGTCAGAATATTTGTTAGTACTCCATTGACTATTGGAAGGGTCCCCTGCAGATTGTTTGAATTTAGGTTGAAAATGAGGAGAGTGTTGTTCTCATCACAGACAGGATAGTTGTCATAGTGTAGAATGCTCTCGTTGTGGGCCTGTGTGAACCAGTCACATTCATTGATGTTATAGCTGAGCCAGTGGTCATTTCGGAACCAGTTGTGACCATTTGTCGCGTAGTAATAGTATGCCAAGTCAAACCTTTGACGTTGTCTTTCATGAGAGTAGTTTGCAAAATTAGGGTCATTCCACATCCAGACATTGGCAAGATAAGCGGGGGTGGATGTGTTGAGGATGGCCTTGAGTGTGCTTGTGAGCAAATCGTCCTGAAAGGGCGGATAGATGATGGTAGAGTTATTGGCTGCATCATGCACATTCTGACTGCTATTGCTACCAACACTCAATGAGCTGGAAGTCGAAGGAAGGTACAAAGCAAGAAAAACCACCAAACCAGTCACAGCCAGGAAGGCCAAGCCTAACCAGGGATAAACATTACTTTGGACATCACTGTTCTGCATGATTGTTCCTTCAATCACTTCTTGTTTGTTGCCCCTGCGTCTTGTCCCTTGTTCCATGAAGACTGCTTCATCTCCAAGAGTTGCATCGTTATCCACAAGAACAGCTTCGTCGATGACTGCTTCATTGTTGTTGTTGTTAGCATCACTGTTGTGAATGACCAGATCATCGTTCATTTCACTACTTCTTTCTTCAACCGCCCCGATTCCTTCCACGGCAAAGGCCCCGACTTGTTGGACCGTATTTTGCTGTCGTTGCGGTTCATTCGCTACCAATTCCTGTTGATGTTCGTTATTTTTGGCTCCTTCTTTTCTTCCTACCCTGAACAAATCTTTTCCAACAGCGGAGTTGGGAGAACTTGAATTGTCTTCAGAGTCCTCACCTAAAACGTGGCGAATTATCCTATCCTTCTGATGGAAGTAGTACTCGCGTCTCGACTCGTCGTCATGGTGGCCAGATGCCTCAACATTGGTGTCCTTTGAATCGTCTGCACCGCCTTCAGATAAGCCGCTGCGTATTATCCTATCCTTCTGATACAACCGATACACGTGTCTCGACTCGCCCTCATGGTTGGCAGATGTCTCATCATTGGTGTCCTTTACTTTGTGGTTCTGGTTCTTTGCTTCATCAGGAATTGCCACGGCCTGACGATGGCGCTCAATCCGCGCAAGCTGATCGACATGGTGCTCATCGTCCTTAGCCTCTTCTCTCTGATGGGGCATTTTGCCGGTTTCAGTCTCTTTCGCCATTGCCTTTCTCCGTCCAGTGTGCTGTTTGATCTTTGCGGGCTTTCCAAAACAAAAATAAATAAAAGGGAGTGGTTGGCTCCAGGACTACGAGTACCCTCCAGCCAGAGTTTAGCAGTGACGAAGAAAATTTGATGACCGATGACCAATTTGACTACCAACTATTGTACTCGAGTCTCCACAACTGTCGCTCTTACTGGATCATGAAGCTGGAAGCTGGAAAGCGTGTGAGTGGTACATGTATGTACACATGTACGCAACAGTTGGACCAATACAGGCCTTTCAGGAGGCTGTTGGCAAAGTAGACGCCACGATGCGACCAAAATGCCAGATTTGTCCACCGGTACTGAGGTAGGAACCTACTATGCATAGAGAGTACTAGAAGTAGCTTCTATAACAGTAAGTAATCAATGTATTATGTCCCTAACCGGTACAGATACTCCAGGTGAATCGTACCATAATTCATCCTAGAATAATCCAGTACTCAGTATGCTTCGGGTCTCCTTATAAGACTAATTAATTCTACCCGTCTTGTTTTTAGCAGCTGCTACCGGTACTATCTGCTATTCCAATACTGTACCTCTGAAAGCTCCTCTGAACCATCTCCAAGCAATACATCACCATACATGATACAGGGAACGCTACGTATGGTGGTCTGGTACAAGGCCATGTCAACAAAAACTGGTAGTGTTAAGGCTGCAGGGCACAGTCTGGCCACATCAATGTGAAGTTCAAATCCATCAGAGGCTGTTCTAGGTTTTGCCCCCCATCTAAAAGGCCGCAAACCGAATTATACAGCTTCCACCACATCTCCTACTCCAGCGGCTGCATGAATTGCACGATATGGGGATGCTAGCTATTGCTTTATGGTACTAGCTAGATTACAAGCAACCCAATTTCACCAAGAAAGCTCCACTTGACCGAGTCTGAGGACAGATTCTTTCCTCTAAGGGATGATTGTTGTACAAGGTTTAATAGTACATCCATGGCTGGAGCGATCGATTGAGCATTCTGGTGGAATGAGGATGACGATCCCACTCCAAAGTAACAAGTACGGTAGCTGTTACTCAAGCAAGCTCCAGTATGACAATGTGACTGGAGGATATCAATCAATCCGAGTTCGAGCTTCTATGCAAGATGGCAGTAATCAATCCAATCCAATCTCAGGCAACGAGCTTCTGTACCACCGGCACGGAAGTTCTTGATGCATGATGGCATGCAATTCCTTAGCAAGCAAGCAGTCAGCCAGTTTGGCTACCGTACGTACGTATCAATTTCCGTGAGAGAAGCAGTGGAAACAGTTTGGTTCGTATGGTACCCAATATATCTGCTCGTGGTGGATTCGATTCAATTGAATTCACAAGTTCTGGAGCCATAAAGTTGGTTAGTTTTGGCTACCACGCTAGCTAACGGTAGATAGGTACCGGTACTGGTATCGGTCTACTAGCTCCAACTATTTTGAATTCGTTGTCGGCGGCCGTTTCCCTGCTCGGGCTATTTTAGTCGATTGAATGATATCAAATCGAAAGATCTGACTAAAAACGGATCCAATCCCCGACTCGGAAGCTTCTCAAGCTCTCCTTGCTCCCACACCTCGCTCTGAGGAATTGACAACAAGACAACAATCTCCATTATTTCCTTTTCGAAGCATCTCCTTGGAACGATCATGCCACTGCTACCACTGCTACAACTATCTCTATTGTTGTCGCTGACGACTCTCTTTCTGAGCGACGCTCATGTGTTGCTGACCTATCCAACACCGCGAACGAACAATGATTACCTGTATACGTTTCGCGAAGGAGCGTGCAATCCACAGACGGGTGTTGGCTGCAATGCCTTTTGTGGGGATGCCTATGACTTACCAGACGCCTCTACAACCGTGCTTTCAGTCAACGAACCCGTGCCCTTGACGTGGCGGACCAATGTGGCGCATCCTCCCTACCAGTATCGCTTTAGTTTGAATCCATCGGCCGGCGACAACAATTTCGATGTGCCCGAGAATATTGTGGTGGCTGGCGTTGACAATCGAGTGGCTGCCGATGCATCGAATGGAGGCGGATTCACGGGATCCTTCCATGTCAATGTAACCTTCCCCGAGTCCATCCTAGAAAGTTGCAGTGCGGATGCGGGACATGATCCATGTGTCTTGCAACTCTGGGATTTGTACTATTTTGTCAGTTGTGCCAATGTCTTGTTTACCAAGAATACTCCCGTGCCCACGACAATAACCCAAGCACCCATCACGGTCACCCTGCCACCACTCCCCAACCGTACCGAAAATTCGATATTCATCCGAGCGGAATCGTTTGAAAATTATTGGGTCACCGAAGGGTTAGAAGAGACAGACACAGCAATGCTGGATCCAATACTCTATCTGGAACCGTGCCAAGAATACGAGTTCATCATTGATGCTCCAGGGCATCCCTTTGTCTTCAAAACCGTTCCAGAGCCGGGATTGGACAATCTGCTGGATTTCAATAATGCATCCCTACATCTTATAAGGGGGGACGTACCCACGCTCCCAGGCATCGAGTACGGAAGCTTTACGTTTACAGCTGGGCCAAATGCCGCTGGACTCTTGTTTTATTATCAATGCGTTCCCCATCAGGGTATGGGAGCGGCCATTCAAATCCTACCAGATAGCAATGGTACTTTTTGCGGTGGATGGAATTATTATAACGAAACCGCACTGACGGATTTTGGATTCAACAACTCGGTAATCAGCATCACCACGACGGTGGATAAGACAGACGAGGAAGCGCCGGAATTCCCAAAAAGTAGTGGCGTGGCAACGACGAGTGCTGCACGGTGTGGTCTTTGTTTGGTGCTATTGGGTTTATTGGCTATTCTGTAGCCAGAAGCCAATAGTATGCACACCGCCCAGGTCGGTTTGTCATGGTTCGTTGCTCTTCTTCTCTTGGGCCCCTGCCTTGGTGATTTGGTTAGAATATCTATGGTTGTCTTGTGTAGCCTTGAAATAAATGATCTCATCGTTGGCCAAAGATATTCATTCGAGTGGTACTAGTACCGTACTCAGTACTCAGTACTATGCATAGCTAGTATTACATGTAATATGCCGTCTTGCCTGGTCGGGATGAGGAGATGTATTTTACAGCGCTTGCTGACATCAATAGTCTCTTCAGTTGCTGACATAACGTTGAGTGAACAGGATGCACAGGGCGGACAGCACAGGGAAGTCAATCGCAGCTTATGAACGCAAAGGCCACTGCTGAAAAACTAAGAGATTGCACCTGTCATGACGACCTAAGAAACAAGCTGTACTAGTACCAATTGGAAACGAGCAAACACGCAGCTTTCACCCAGCCTGCAGTTCAGATAGAGCTCTTTGGAACACTCAGTCGAAATGGCAGGGCTTAAGGTTCTTTTCCCCACCCAACGAATGCGAACATGCAGGTACCAGCACGCATGTACGCATGTACCACTGATTTCTCGATCTCACTGACTTGAGAAGTCCTTGAGTGCATGGTGGATAGCATCGTGGTACCGCTTCAGCGTTAGATAAGAATATCGAACCAGTTGTACCCATATGTAGAGTTAGTTACATGTATACTATAGTTACTTGAGTTGCCCCAGCAAAATGTTGAGAACCCGTTTTTTCCCCTCGGGCTGAGCACCATCGGCGCCAACACTTTGTAAAAGCCACAAATAAACAAAGCAGCAGGGACCTTTCATAGAAAACGATGATGAATAGGATGCCACTGCAGAGTCTACTTCTGCTACTTCTGGTTTGCTGGAGGTGCAGTGTAGATGCCACCAGTGTCAATGCCTTCCCCTCAGAAGTGACGGTACGGGCAGGGATGTTCCATGTGCCGCCGTACGCTTACAATTTCGTTCTTCAAGAAAATGGCACTGGACACTTGCTGTCAGCCGATGGTTTTTGCCCGGACATGCTCGATCGGTTGCAGATCTTTGCAGCCCAAGACAATGTGACGCTGAACTTTGAACTGGCCGTGGCTCCCAACACGTATGATGGAGCGCTCAACTTGGTGGCGAACGACTGCTATGACCTACACAATAAGACCGACTGTGACAAGTTTGATGTGATTGCCGTCGACTACTACTATTCAACGGAACGCGCCATGAGAATAGAATACACCCCGGCGTGGCTGCATGGTGCCATTTCCGCGGTCAAGTACGTGCCCAACACGGCGGAGACTAATGGTGCTGACGGGGATGGCGAGAATGTTCTGAGCACCTACATTGACAGCGCGGGGGGCACGGTCAGCAGTAATGACGAATTTGTTACCATGGCACAAGCATCCAGAGAAGGTTATCCCGTCTGTGTGGTCGAGGGAACTACAATTCTTCGCATCACCATGGAAAAGTTCCCGGGTGCAGACTTTGTCCCATGCCCTGACCAACAAGCCTGTCTCAATCTCCTCAAGTTTGGCAAATGTCGACTGTATGTGGATGACCGCCTCCAACTGCGGTATCGAGCCGTATCAGATCCAACCTTGGTGGTCAGTTCAGAGACTTTCAATCCACAATATATCCTCTGGGTCATGAATGAGAGGACACTAGATCCCCTGGTACTGAGACTCATGAAGCGGTGGCTGATTGCTGCCCATCAAAACGGAACATTCGGAGAGCTCTACGAAAAGTACTTTGAAAAGGAACCTTGTCCGATCGGGAGGGCAGGGCCCAACTGTGAATTCCACTGTGACGCTGAACATGGCCAAGCCAATGTCCACGGTGTTTGTGTCTGCAAATCACCCAAGTGGACGGGAGTGGACTGCAGCATACCCATACCGGAAGAACTCAACATGATCCCACAATCGCTGAAAATAATGGCCTACTGTCTGTTGGGGATCAATGCGGTGCTCATTGCGGGATGCGCTCTCTGGCTTGCGCTGCATTGGAATTCCCAACAAGTACGGATATCACAGCCCGACTTTCTTTTGCTAGTATTGCTCGGCTGTGCCATTAGTTCATCGACAATCATTGCCCTAGCACAGGAAGACTCTACCAGCAACCATTGCATGCTTATCCCGTGGCTCTACTCTGGTAAGTGAAGGAAATAGCGTGCCATGTCCTTCTGTCAGCAGTCCACTCAAATACCACTTGTTCCTTCTACCCTCAGTGGGATTCTGTGTCACTTTTGGTGAGTACATCCAGTTGCAATTACTCTGGCAACACTATCACAAACTCACACTCATCACAATACACAATGGCTACCCGACCAGGTACTCTCTTTGCAAAGATTCGGCGGGTATACATCATCTTCAAATCTTCGGCCGAAATGAAGCGAGTTACCGTAACCTTTGTGGAAAATCTGGTTGTCATTGGGTCTGTCCTCTTTGTGGATATCATTATTTTGGTCGTGTGGACTTTTGTGGATCCACTGGTGTGGCAGAGGTCGGTCATCACCGCAGATCAATTTGGGGAGCCCCTGGAAAGTGTGGTATGTACAAGTATTTATGTGAAAACATCAATCCAAAATGGTTACCCACCAATGAATGAGTCAATTCTCAACTCCTTAACTCACTCGCCAATCTGGATCATCAGGGGTACTGCACATCGGAGCATTGGGTGGCCTTTGGTGGTGTCATTGCAGCCTTGCACCTTGTACTCCTATTAACAGCTTCATGCTTTTGCTATATTTCACGGCACATACCAACCAAGTTTTCAGAAGGCAAATACGTCAGTATCGCCATGGTCAGCAACCTGCAAATCTTTGTCGTTGGAGTTCCAGTGTTGATTGTGGTGGGATCAGAGCCAGCAACCAGTTTCTTTGTGAGAAGTGTTGTGATCTGGATGAACGACCTGGTGGTAGTCTGCTTGATCTTTGGCAACTTGATTTATTCTGTTAGCTTTTCAAGTGATGGTCACGGTGGTGCGACAGTCAAGGACGAAATCAGATCTGCCATGCAAGAGTTTTCGAAGTATCATGATGAGGCGATGGATCATTCCTGGCATTCACAAATATCCAATCACAGCTCTGGCAGGATCAGTGGGAAGATTAGCAACGGCAGGATCAGTCCTCCTCCGCACAGCGATATTCACTTGAAGGTCGTGAACGAGTCGTGGCAAGCAAGTCATGTTTCCAGCTCAATGTCAAGCTGCGGCACACGAACAGGGCTGGAACTGCAGGAATCTCGAGGGGCCACAGACGAAAGATCACGAGTCCGTACCTCCTCCCTGAGCACAATCAGAAACAATGCGCCTGCCTTGGATTTTCTAGAAAAGGATTCATGGGCACAAGCGATGGGAGAAAGCACCAATGGCATTGTCGTGTCCAAAGACTCCACCCAAGAGCCTCAGTCACAGTTGCCTGCCTGCAATGAAAGTGGCAGCAAGGGAACTGACGGTCTGAGTTGCACAAACTCGTCGCCACAGTCCAAGACCATGGAGATGGACGATACCTCAAGTGTTAGTGCCAGCTTCCACTCTGAATCAGGAGATATCACTAAGTGGAAGAAAGGAGTATTGGATGTAGAGGAAGCTGTATAAAGCGGGTTGGGGGTATTTATAGATGCAGGACAAAACCTAGAACAACTTCCAATGGATTGGATGGCAATGCACACGTATGCGGCTAGTACATGTAGCTAGTCCTGTACCGTACAGTCATAACAACTAGTTGACATGGCCTAGCTAGTCTGTACCCGATGCAAATGTAAGCGAGTTTTCCCTGTACCGGAATGGTGATGTTCAGAGGCGTGGACGGGATTGAATCATTCGTTGTGGTTTGTGCCAGACAGGAACAAGCGGACGAGTAGCTAGACTACCGTCCAACGGCGGCATGAACAGTTACTATCCAACATGGTGCAATCAAGGATCAAGGAAGGTTGGAAGAAACGAAGAAACAACAAAGCAACGGAGCAATGGAGAATGAAACCTTCCAGCTTCCAGCTTCCAGCTGTTTTGCCTGTTAAGACAAATACTCGAGTATTTACTCCGATTATTCCAAGAGAATTAGTGTACCGCCTACCGGAAGCTTACTGGTTCACTTTGGATCATCGACTGGAAACCAATGAATTCTTGAATACACCGAAGACCCACAATGTCATGTACCTTGCACTCGTACCGGTACCGGTTGAGCAGTGGAGTACTAGCTATTAATAGCTACCACGCTACCACGCTGTCGCTGCGCTCGCAAATTCGCGATAGCCGGATAATATTGATACTAGTAGCCGGTAGCTATTAATTAATACTGAAAGCTATCAGTAGACTAGTAGCGCTATTAATTAATAATAGCTAGAGCGGACTATGAGGTGTTAGCCTGTGAGGCACCAATCAATCGTGCATTTTACGGCGTTACCAAAAAAACAATAAGTGAACCAGTGGTGAAGTGAGTAGCGCTCTTGTACAGCTGTACTTGTATTCAGAAGAGAACACGGGGGTTTATTAGAGAATCAATAAAGACGGGGGCCTCATTTTTCATTTGCTTTACTTGGGTCCGACTTCTAGGAAGCTGGATGTTTCCCAGCACTAGCCAATGGGCCGGTTTCCGAAGCTCTTTTCCATTATTTTTTTGAAGGCTCTGAAAGATCAAGCAGTGTTGTAGTACAGCAGAGAGAGGTGATGACGAAAGAGACCAAAACCAACAAGAGAACCCATCAGTGTGAAGGTGCTAAGGAGGAGGAGCACCATGTCGATCAGCCCATGCAGAATGAGAGCCATCATCAGGCAGTGGCAACTCGTGATGAGGCAAAGCACCAGCACCAAGAAGTAAAGGACACTGATGAGACATCTAGCCACCATGGCGACGAATCGAGACACGAGTACCAGTGCTATCAGAAGGATAGGATAATACGCAGCGGTTTAGCTGGAGGCAGTACAGACGATTCAAAGGACACCAATGTTGAGACATCTGGCCACCATGACCACGAGTCAAGACTGAAGTACCACTACGATCAGAGGGAACGGATAGTACGCCATGTTCTAGGTGAGGACGTTGAAGATGATTCAACTTTTCACGGAGCTGTTGAAAAAAATTTGATTGGAGAAGGACGAAAAGAAGGAGCCAAACACGAGTGTCAACGGGTATTGGTGGGCAATGAATGGCAACAGCCAGAAGACAAATCAGGAGGCCACGCTCAAGCACAACAGCGTCAACGACAGCCAAAAATGGTCCCACAAGTCGGGGCCTTTGCCGTGGAAGGAATCGGGGTGGTTGAAGACAGTCCTCTTTGGAACGAAGTGGTAAGCGGTGAAATGGACAACAACAGTGACGATGACGGCGGTGAAGCAGTAATCGATGAAGCTTTTCTTGTTGATAATGATCAATCTATTGAAGATCAAAGTGTCTTCATGGAAGAAGGGACAAGCCATAAAGGCAACAAAGAAGAAGAAGAAGTGATTGAAGGGAAAATCATGCCCCACAGTGATGAGCGGGGGCAAGGAAATGTTTATCCCTGGTTAGGCTTGGCCTTCCTGGCTGTGACCGGTTTGGTGGCTTTTCTTGCCTTATACCTTCCCTTGACTTCCAACTCATCGAGTGTTGGTAGCAATATGCGTCAGACTGTTCATAATGCAGTCAATAACTCTCCCATCATATATCCACCCTTTCAGGATGATTTGCTCACAAGCACACTAAAGGCCATTCTCAACACATCCACCCCCGAGTATCTTGCCAATGCCTGGATGTGGAACGACCCTCATCTTGACAGCTACTCTCATGAAAGACAACATCAAAGGTTTGATTTGGCATACTGTTACTACATGACAAATGGTCACAACTGGTCTAGAAATGACCACTGGCTCAGCTATGATGTCAACGAATGTGATTGGTTCACACAGGCCCACAACGAGAGCATTCTACACTATGACAACTATCCCATCTGTGATGAGAACAACACTCTCCTCATTCTCAACCTAAACTCAAACAATCTGCAGGGGACCCTGCCAGTAGTCAACCGATTCCTACCAAATATTCTGACACTGGATATTGGGAACAACCAGTTGCATGGAGCTGTTCCAACGGGGGCTGCTTCAACCAATGAAGTCCTTGAGGTGTTCATTGTATCCAACAACTACTTTGAAGGTCAGTTGATTTCCAGTGGTGGCTTCAAACCGTTTGGGATACGAATCGTCAAGATGGAGGGCAACTTTCTGCTTGGATACATCGATCCCCTCCACAAGTATATGACCAAGTTGGAAATTCTGAATGCTTCCAGCAATCTCTTTGGGCTCTTTGGTGCCAAGCTAGCAGAGACACTTGTCAGTAAGAGTCTCTACTACTATGGGGGTGCGGATTGTCTTTTTACCGGAACCATCCCAAGCACAGTGGGATTGCTCCCAGCTTTGGAAACCATTGATGTCCATGGCAATGCTGGTTTGTTTGGTCCGATACCCACAGAGCTTGGTGAGTTGACCAACCTGGCTCTACTGGATGTGTCCTATACAAACATTTCTGGACCAGTCCCTACAAAACTCTGTGAACGAGTTGAAACTGGCTTGCTGGAGATTCGGGCCAACTGCAGCCTTGTAGACTGCTGCTCTGTGAACTCCACCCTACCAAATAGATCCTAGCTAGGATAAGACCTTGATAATATATAGGTTTTGTGTGTCAGTGAGGTTGTGGATAATACATTCCCGTATTTACCGCTACGCATGTATGGCCGGCTGAGTGACGGGGTATTTTCAGGAAGCGACAAAGCGAAATGGAGTGGTACACGTGGGAAGAAGGATCTGCCCACCACCGTCTTTCTCGGAAGTGACATATCTCCAGTGGTAGTACTATTCTAGAAATGCCGAGCGATGGTAGAGCATCTCTGGCTTGCACGTCAAGCACGGAATCCAGAAGGGCGGAAGCAGTGACCGGTACCCGCCACGGTTCCGTCCGCCTCTCGCCTCTTTGTGGCTGCAAACACAGCAATAACACACATACGGTCATCACCATGCTTTCAAGGCTAAATGTATTCTATCAGTGTGTGGCATCAACCAACTATAGCTATAAAACAAATCGCCCTCTCGGGAAGCACAGCTAACTACATGTAGTCTCCTCTTGAACCTTCTGCTGTGTTACAGTACACCGTTGCTTGTTCCGTATTCATATTCTCTGGCACTCGTTGGTTTATTTTATTTATTAATTACTCAAATACAGTTCTTGGTTCGAGCGCCTCTATCAACCGCAGCGGGATGAGCCGATTCGATTGATGATTCAACCGACGTCCGGTCAACTGCACTGTCCATTGACCATGGTGCGGTGTTTTTTGCCGGCACGACGGTTACGAGTGTCAAGGATACATCTACTATTGCTATATGCAAAAGACCGCAAAGCAGCAAGCTAAAATGCACTCGATATCACGGGTGCGTACGGACAAAATGTGCGCTACCTCCTACCGGTTCCTGGGATTGCCGCTGCGTCGTTGTCTTTCCAGCTCGCGTTGTGCTTGTTGCAATGCCAATTCCTCCTGTTCGACCGCTTAGACCTAGTTTCCGTTGTCCTTGTTCGTAACTTTGTTGCAATGCTCATGTCGTGTTTCTTTCAACCGATTTGTTCTGTCTGTACGGACGCCGCCAGTTCGGTTGGTGTGGTTTGAAACGATTCGATCCTTGTTGTTGCTTCAAGTCGCTTTGTTGTTTGTGCCAATCATTCATGGAATTGTTTCATATTATCGATTACCAATATTTGTTGTTGCTGTTTGGCTAATACGTGCCAACAACCTCTTTCAAATGGGATTGAGGAATCGAATCAGCAACCCATAAACTGTCGGCCACAGCATGATACAGTAGTGAGCACCGTAGCTATTAGTGGAAGAACGAATTCTTGGCAAGCCGTTGTTTACTAGGTCTACTAGGAGAACAGAAAATGAAGGTTGGGATACAATTATATACAGATAGACCAGTCCTCTTTGTTAGGAGGATCGCGTGGTCTGTTGACAAGTCGTCGACATAGATGCTGAGAATCAATCATTCGATTGAAATCGAATCATTCCATCGAATCTTTCGTAAACGATTTGTGTTGTGGCTTTATTGCCTTGGATACCGGTACCGCCTTCCCTCCTCCCTCCAACCATGTTTGCCGGGCGCGCCATGCCCGTTCTGGCTCGAGATCAAGGCAGAGGAACAATCAGCAAGAACATTATCCGATAAAGCAGCAGCTTGAATGCATGACTCTACAATGCCGGGGTGAATGCCAACCCTTGGCGCCACCGTAAGCAAGGATCCAAGCCAGGAGATCCGCGAGGCCGGTGTATTTCCAGTGGAACTGACGAAGCCATACTCATTCATTGAAGCGCAAACCACCACAATGGTGGAGCGGAGTCAGCCTAAGTCAAACTCGATCGCTACTATACGTATACTGTTACTATTACGAGGCATGTCCTGTGTTCGGCAGTGGACTTGGAGGCTACAGTACTCAGTACTCAGCCAGAAACTTGCACGTCGCAACACAGGAGGAGCCATGGTTGGTCGATCGATCGTCACGAGGAGGTAAACCTGCTATTGAAGGTGCAGAGTCGAAAGCCGTCGCTCATTTATTTCTATGAACCAAGGCAGTCAGATCTCGGCCATCAACATGACGAGAGTTGTTGTGGTGAGTTCTTTTATTGAATTGAATTGAATCGAATCGAATCGAATCAAGCCGAGAAGTTGGAGAATCACCAATTGAGAATTGAGATCCGAGCCCGAGATCCAGCGCAATTTGAAGGTGCGTAACTGCATGAAAGCCATCCCTCATTACTTGTTTCTGTGGACCCCGGGAGGGCCATCATATCTCTACCATCAACAGGTCAGTTCGAGAGGAGTTTCGAGTAGGAGTATCAAGCCCCGGTCAATCGGAGTCATCCTCATTGGAATCATACCAGCTCCAGGAGATTTCGTTTCTTGGCCCATGACAGTCAAAGTTGGCGGAATTTGAAAGACAAGGGTAAGTCTCCGGTTTCGTCAGTTCATCACAGAAAACAAACTCATACCTATCTGTTGTTTTCTCTGCTGCACTGGTATGCTGACACCGATGACTTACCATTGTGCCGATGGCTTCTCGGTCGATCGATCGCTATGGATATCACGAGGAGAGTTGATCCTCCCATTGGATTTGATTCACGCCACAATGCCTATTTTCCTGTACAGGTATGTTCGAGATGTTCGTCGAGGTGAGTGGTGGGCCTTCCGTTGGCACTTTGGTGCTGGGGCAACTTTGCAATAATTTGCTGGGCTGTAACAAATATATGTAAGCGAACAATGCATTGTGTCCTCGTACTAGGTGCAATAGGCTTTGCTGCTAGGTGTCCTGCCCTCTTGCATGGCTCGTTACAACTAATTTGGTGTATGTTGAAGGGAGTGTGAAGTTCAGCACACCAAAGAACTCATTTCTTTCTGGTCGTATCTCTGCTGCACTCCCGACGGCCGACCTATTCTCGTTGAGTCATTGAATGGCAAACGTCAGAGCGTGGAGGAGGCCACACGACAACACGCCGAGAGAGTGGACCCTCCTATTGGATTCACCCCTAACTCCCCTTTAACTCTCCTTGAATTTCCTAGTATTTTGGTGTTCATTGTTGTGTCCGTACCCAATTTTCTCCTGTGTGCAGCAGTTCTCGAGGACCGGTGGCACTTGGTGGTCTCGCTGGGTGCATGTACCGGTAATAGATCAACACTAGCTACCAGCTAGAGCAATAGATTAAGTAGATATAAGTAGACGAGTACTCGTACAGTGTGTTTTACAGTGGCCGGTCGTTAGATGCTTCATCCCATGTGATGGCTCCTTCTTGCTCTGTCTACTAGCTAGAAGGGATCAGCCACCACTTCAATGACACGCAAAAACTATGTATTATCAAGTTTTAATGCTACCAAAGGATCTATTTGGTGGCATTTATAGAGCAGCAGTCCACAAGGCTGCAGTTTGCACGAATCTCCAGCAAGCCAGTTTCAACTCGTTCACAAAGCTTCGTAGGGACTGGTCCAGAAATGTTTGTAAAGGACACATCCAATAGAGCCTGGTTGGTCAACTCACCAAGCTCTGTGGGTATCAGACCAAACAAACCAACATTGCCATGGACATCAATGGTTTCCAAAGCTGGGAGCAATCCCAGTGTGCTTGGGATGGTTCCGGTAAAAAGACAATCCGCACCCCCAAAGTAGTAGAGACTCTTACTGACAAGTGTCTCTGCTAGCTTGGCACCAAAGAGCCCAAAGAGATTGCTGGAAGCATTCAGAATTTCCAACTTGGTCATATACTTGTGGACTCTGAGGCGTGGCCATGCCATGATACTGTATGCGTGGCTGGACCCCAATGAATGCATGTCGCCAACCTATCAATCAATCAAACCATCGATTCATCAGGAGGGGGTCGATGGGATAGGTGGATGAGGTGCGCGGTGGAATGATTGAATCTAACAAACGTGGACAATGGCAACCAACGGAACGAGATGCCCCGCCCAATGTGTCGCTTGGCATGAACGGGTACGATTTCCGCACCGCTCCTGGAGCCCTACCGTATCTATGGCCTTGTCTGTATCGACGACGAGACGAGATGAGACGAGACAGACCAGTTCGTGTACACTCACTTTGCCGAGTGTCACTTGTGACGCGTCCACTGAAGGAGACTTCAGATTGATTCGATTCCTTTTCTAAATTTTCGGCTGCAGTAGTAGTGGCAGTAAGTAAGTAGTCTCTAAAAAGTGAATGGTGTAGCCAAGTTTGCTGACTGTTTGGTAAAGTGCCGTGGCTCTCCAAAAGAGGTAGATTGTTCGTGTCCGCCTAGCCAGTAACCAAATAAGTGCAAACCATTTTTTAGTGCCCCAGCCAGGAAACTCCACCGTGACACATGGTGACTCGGTTGATTGGACCACAGAAACAAGCATGGTGGGGGTGCATTTTTGTTGTTGTGGTTGGTGCATGATAAATTTGTCTTTAGCAAATTGATTTTTTACTTCTTTTTTGTGTCATACGATTGTGTGTGTACATTGGTTAGTTTCCAGTCAATGCCTCATTGAGTTCATTGATTTTAGCATTGACGGAATTGGTGACGGTATCCGTGGCTCCCTTGATGGTCGAATCCACAGCACTCGTCACTGTATCAGTCGCTTCCTTGATGGTCGAATCGACAGCGCTGGTCACACTAGTAATGGGTGCCACGACAGTCGCATCAATGGCTCCCATAGTGGGTTGTACAATTTGCGAATCCACGGCGGAATTGACTTGATCGACATACGGAGCGGCGGCCTGACTGAGTTCATCGACATATGGCGACGCGGCTTCTCCCAAGGATTGCGCACTTTTTTGAACGACCGGTGCCGCTGCTTGTCCAAACGAGTAGAGTCCCTTGCCAATGGCTGGAAGGGCAATGGTCAATCCCTTCCAGACAGCTGTGAGCACGGCCACCAAGACGGACGCCAACAATCCGGCGACCTGAGCGGCTTCTCTTGCTACTTCCGCGCCAAAGGCACCCGCTACCGACGAAGCGACACCCGTGGCGGCCGAAAACAGCGACGATCCTATAGAGAAGACCACCAATAACGAGACCACTGCCACGGCCGCTTGAATGCCCAATTTGGTCAAATCGACTTCGTCACTACTTTTTTGTGATTCACTAGTAGTAGTTGGTGGAGAGGAGACGGGTGCTACTGCTGGTGTTTCTTCATTTGTGCTGTTGGTGGTCGACATGAAGAGAGGTCCATCTTTGTTGGCGGAAGACCCCAAAAAGGCATTGCTTGGTTTCACCACTACCGAAGCGCGGCCCAGCGGCGCCTGAAAGGCAGACACACCATTTGTCACAAAGAGTAACACGAGGAACGGGACAAGACGTGTCATCATCTTGAATAAATGTAAAAGTAAATGTAGCTATAAGAAGGGTGCTTTTTCTTTTGGCATTGGTTTTGTGGATCCTATCATTGTCGGCACCGGGGAGGGTTCTTCATACGACCCATTAGTCCCGGGGTCGATCCCGCGTGAAAAGTCGCAGGGCAAGGACGTCCCATGCGACGTTCTCGAACGACTTCTCTTTGAGAAAACAAAGTCGCGTTGGATCAATGAAAGTCGCGTGAAACATCGCATCCAAGTCGCTTGAATGTTTATGCGACTTTCCAAGCGACTTTCAGCACGAATCAAGGCGATATTTTAGAATAGATTAGAATTCTATTCTAGCTAGCTAGCTAGAATGTCGCTATCGATAAGCAAAGGGACTGATTTGTGATATACTTGTTACGGAACTGTACCAGGTTCCATACCGCGCACCAACCACCCTTCTAGCTATATCGGTCATCAATTGACCCAACGAGCCACGAGATATGTGGCTGGGTAACCTGGTATTCCAAACCACGAGCGCTGCGCAACAAGCACCCTGTCGGTCATCGTTCGAGCCAACCTAGCTAGCCAAGTTAATTGCAAGATATGTGGCTGGGTATAACCTGGTGTTCCAAACCACGAGTGGCGACGCTGCGCAACACACACCCTGGAGGTCATCGTTCGAGCCAACCTTGCAAGCAAGATATGCGGCTGGGTATTCCAAACCACGAGCAGCAACGCTGCGCAACAAGCATCCCGGCGGTCATCGTTCGAGCCAACCTACCATAGCTTGAAAGATATGCGGCTGGGTATTCCAAACGACAAGCAGAGGCCACACAGGCAGCACCCTGGCGGTCATCGTTCGATCGAGCCAAGCTTGCAAGATATCCGGCTGGGTATTCCAGACTAACAAGTAGTAACCATTCGATCATTCCATAAAAAACAATTGAAGAAGAGTCTATTATCACAAACAATCAAACAATCGAGAGACTGCGCTCAATCAATTGCAAGATGAAGACGGTGCTGAGTTTTCAGCTTTTCTTGGCTGTTGCCTTGCTGCTTGTTGGCTGGTCAATGCCGGCTACGGCCGAGACGAGCCCTGATGCCAAGAAGAGGAAGCATGAGGAGCTCAAACAGGTAATTACGCCGGGGACCATGATCTAGAATATCCGGTACACTTTAAAACAACGATCGACTCAACCAATCCTCTGCTTCTCGAATCAACTTCCTCCAAACTCGACCGAGGCAGAAAGGCTGGTTCACTACTGGTGGTCTACTAGGCGATGAGAAGAGCAAAGATGTACGTCGATCTTGTTCCATGGTTGTTGGCTGCATGCATGTTGGCTTTACCCACGGCCCCATGCATCCAGAACATATTGTTTGGTTGATTGCTTGTGACTGACTGACGACTGACTGACCACAATTTTGCATGTGCTGCCCGCTCAAAAGGCCGAGTCATTGTCCGCCGCCCATGGTTCCTCCTTGTTGGCTGTGGATCCCGAAGAATCAATCTCAAACCAATCCGATTTTCGGAGCCATGGCGCCAAGGAAGTTTTCGACAAATCGAACCATCACTCTGGTGGTACCGGTGTCGCTTCCGGAGTGAGTTACCACGGCCCTAATGTTCCTATGACCGGTATTGTCCCAAGCGACCCTTCGATGGAAACTACTGCAGACGACAAAGAAGCTGCTGAAAATGGAAACGGGAAGGGCGACGAAGAGGAAACTTCACAAGCAGAAGACCAATACAACGACGCTGCCACCAGCCTCATCGATACCAACACAGATGAACACGACACCGCAAGGCTTGTTGCTCATGCTAATTCGGTGGAGTCTTTTCAGTTGAGGGCAGCCGCCTCTCTGGATACACTCAAGAATCAGGTGGCTGACGCCCGTATTAACGGGGACAAGTCGGACTTGGCAAGAGCCACTGCAAATGCCATCCGCGGCAGTGCCACCTTGATGGAAGAAGCCAAAGTGAAATCACTGGCCATGTTTGCCGTCCTAAAAGAAAACGAAGATACCAATGACTCCGATGGCTGGTCAACTCAGCTGCTGACAAACGTCCAGTCCGTGACGACTCAAATGAACAGGGCGTTGGAGCTGTTTCCAAAGGTGAGGCAAACTGGCACGTGCATGCACAACTGTGATGGGTTTCTCCCTTTGATCCTACAACGTGATTGAGTTGATATGCGGTGTACTTACTCTACTTTGATTCTCCTTGCGTAGATGATCAGCTACTTGGAGGGTCCTTCAAAAGAGTCTGAAGAGAAGGAACAGACGAAGAAAGAACCACTCCCAGCCAGCACACCGATCGAAGAAAATCAAGCAATGAAGGATAAAACGAGGACTTATCGCAGAGGTCTCAAAGACACTTCACACAAGATCAATTTGGATGTCCCGCCTTCCGCCTCGGATTGGAAGAAATCCAAATCTCCTGATCACATGGCATCTTCTGAGACCCGCCAATGGGAAAAGGAAGCCTCAAAACACCGCCGGATTCTTCGCAGTCGGTTTGAGGGGAATAGTCGTGCTCAAAGCCACTTTGACCGTTTCACTAAGTTGCACGACGTCTTCCAGAAAGGAGACCATGACGGTATGCACCATCATTTTGGCCCAATCCAGTCTCGCGTGACTCAGAAACGCTCCCTGAACCAAAACCAGCGCCACCTTGGCGCCGCAGAGGACAAAGCGAGACAGTGCAAGATCTTAATGGGATGTGTTGGTAAAATGTCCATTTGTAAGCGACTTTGGTGGTGATGGTTGTGATGGTAGCGATCTGGACTGGGTTAGCTTTGCTAATGTTGACTCCACTGTTTGATTCCCTTCCATGTGAAAGACGACATGATTCTTTTCTTCTACTCTGATGATGTAAGTACTGGTAGCTACCTAATGGTTGATAGATGCCGCATGTTTGTCACTCGACTCAGCCTCACAGCCCACACTGTTGTTCCCCATCATCCATCTTAAGATTGACCCCAACAATGGAAAGATAGATGACAACATTTACATTCATACAGAAGGTATGCGCGCCCGTGTCGAACCAGCTTTTTCGTCTCGATTGCATTCCTGACCGTATTCCCCTCTTGCGCCAAATCCATGCAGCTCCCGATGTGTACGAAGTCTATAACAATGCCAACGTGCAGAGAGCACGTGACGAGCTTCCCAACAACAGACCATGGAATTGGTACAAATATTCTGGTCGACCCAATTGGTGTGACTGGACGCTGAGGCAGTTTTCTCGAAATGTCGAGTATGGAGGTTAGTACCCTCGACAAGCTTGGGTTATACAGAGTGGGTCCATCAACCTTAATTGTCTTCTAATTCACGTGTTGTGGAAAGATGTTCCTCACTGGGAAGGTGGCACAATCGCGTAAGTCGGTTTCCTGGACTCTAGCTATTTGTACCTTGGGATCATGATTATAGCTCAATTTGCTACGGCTGCTTCTCACTCCATCTTCCAGGGATGTATGCCATGCTCAAGGCGGGTGCGTTATGGTTTAGGCAGTAAATAGCCAACACACTGTCGATCAGATATGTGCCAATCTAAACCAACCCTCACTCTCTTGTGTCTGACTCTCTCTCTCAGACACACATATGTCCAGTTGGATCAGATTGCAACAAAAGTTGGCTTCAAAGCTGCAGATGAGATTGCCAAGGAAGTGTTCACGTGCTCCAAGAGGCTATACAACTCCAATGCCAACCCAAGGAAATCACCATTCCCTTTCGCTAGAGAGCAAGAGTTCGCAATCGACATAGGAGAATCAGGTGTGGAGGAAACAGGCGGGGTACATGATGGTGTGACTTCAGGTGTCAAAGGTTCACAAGACAGCAAGTCCAAACTGTTTGACAGAAGTATGTCTGGTGATTCAGGTTGGTGGAAGTCCAGGAGTGGCACTAAAGGATATCCGATGAGGCTTAATATTCGGTCTGACGGTCGAGAATATTGCGTGGATTGGAATACCGGCAGTGACCACGACTACCTTCATGCATACGGTTGTCATGATGGCAGAAACCAGATTTGGTACTATGAACCAAGCACCAAACTAATCAGGTCAATGAGGGATCAACACAAATGCATGGAAGCAAAATCATCGGGAGGCAATGACAAAGTTTACATGGCCACATGCGACAGTAGCAAAACTAGACAGCGATGGTACAAGTACAATGATCATGGGATCAAGAATGAGGGGAGGAACAAGTGCTTGGACAAAGAAAGTGATCGCGACATAGTGGTAGACAATTGCCACACTGGACATAACCAGGATTTCCTGGAGGTGGATTCCAAAGACTTTTTTAGCAAAATGATCCCCCCCAGCGTGACGTTCAAGGTGCAACTTGAAAGCTTTGTAAGCGGAGAGGAAGGTAATCCGCTCAAAGCAATTGAATTGAAGTGGAGGAACGGTGAAGAATGCCCCAGGTCCAAGATTACTTTGCTGGCTGGATATCATGGAGATCCAATTCCTTTTGACTGGGGTGAGGCAACTGTTTTAGGTGATGTGCTGACCGACAACATTCTGCCTATCTCTTCAACATCTGCAAGGTTCCGAATCAAGTGCACCCACCCAGACAGGCGGATTTCTTTGTATGAAATTCGTGTCTTTGGCATTGTGGAAGGAGGAAATGGGAATGTCCTGCCTCAATTCAATGGTATGGCTTTGATTGACTTGTTATTGAGATTGTGTTTTTGTGATTGCAGCTTTTAAATAGCTTACCTGCCATCCACCTATCCGTTACTGCAGAGGACTATGAGGAATCGTTCTTTGTGCCCACTGGTATTGAGACCGAATACAGTCGTGACAGTTTTGGTCAGGTAAAAGGTATGATATGGGTCTAGGGTGGACTGAGGTGTTGTTAAGCGCTCTTCTAAAGTCATAACTCTCTCTCTGTCTGGGAAGGTGATTCTGTGACACTGTACAAGTATGAGGAGGGTCTTGTGGTTGATGGGCTTAAGGACCTTCAAACTGTGATGGTATGATTCTTCTTTGATGGTGCTAGGTTGATGGTTCCAAATCTTGCATTCTAACATCCCAAAATTCGTGCCAGGCGCGGACCTACAAGAGCTTATGGGACAATTGGCTGAAACATGATGATGACAATCTAAGGAGGAAGTTACAGCAAAAATACAAAGAGCCATATCCAAATTTCAGTTCTCATCACTATAAGTGTACAGATTTTTACATGCAGCTTGTTCGAGAGGGCGAATCCAATGATGTCATTAATGAACAGATGATCATAGCCTTTGCAAGACACCATGGGAAGGAGTGGCGTGGTGATGATTTTGAGGATCGTGAGAGTGAGTGCCGAGTGGTGACCATTTTTTTTGCTCTGAGGTTCTTGTTGTTTGCTGCACTCACTAATGAACGGGTTCTTTTTCTTCTGAGCAGAGGAGTATGATCGGTTCAATGACTCAATTAACCTCAAGTATGGATCTGTGCAGGTACACATTCGAATCTGTTCTCATTATTCCTGCTCCTAATTCCTTCTCATCTATCTAATGCTCACAAATGTTTGTGTTGCAGAGGGGCATCAACCTTGTGTTTGGAAAGGATGCTTCTGTGGGCTACGTCTGTGGCATCGATGAAGTTGTCAATCGCCTTGGTGCAGATAAGGTGGGTTATAGCTGTGTGATTACGGAGGTTTGGGAGTGCATGTTCAACAGCTCTGACCACCCCTTCTGCATGAAAAGTTCCCTGGCACATGCTGCCTGGATGCACCATACGAGAATCCTGGTACGTCATGCCTATTGCATTATGGTCTGTTTCATGTTAGGAGCTGATTTCGTTTCTATGGCTCACCAAAAACCTGTCGATGCTCCTTAGGTGGCGAATGGTAAGAAGTCTCCGCCTCATAGCTTCGAAAGATTCTTCAAGCTGTCAAGCCCTAACTGATCAGCAATGTTTTGATTGGTCTAGGGGGAGGGAGGTACGCAAAGTTTCCCGAAGTCGACGATCGGTGTCCTGCTCTGTGTGCCTAAATTTTTGTTTGTTCTCTCGGGCCAGTTTGACTGTTCAATGACCTGCCAAGAGCGGGCTCCCTTTTTCAGTGGGCTCAGTGAAGAAAGTTGTTCAGCTGTTGGTGGCAAGTTTTTTGTGCGCATCTTGAAACGGTTCCTGTCCATTCAAGATGATATCAGCTAAACTTCTTCTTTGATGCTCTCCCCAACTCGAAGGTACTTGGTGTCCAACTACTGCTGATTGCTCAGTGCTGAAAGACTGTGTTGACCAAGAGATTGAAAGGGCCGAGGACAACACTATGATTGCGTACAAAGTCTACTTGGAACCTGGTGTTGTCGAAAACCCAAACGATTTTGAGTCTTGTGGTCGTTCCCGGGAATATTTTGGCTATGATCCCCTCTACAAGGTGCGATTTGTAGTCATATTGTGGCACTCAACTGGTCAAGATGCGTTTGTCTCATCTGTGTTTCTGATGCATCTACAGAATGACGATGACGTCTGTGAGAACATCAAGCAGGCAAGTATTTTACTGTTGTTGCGTTAGATCAACCAGCCCATCATCCTGACTGACTTGTGTTGTATTTTTCTGTACAGCTTCACAATACCAAAGATTTTGGGTTTCTGGATGAGTTCTATGCTCAAGGATCGCCTGCTGTGGAACCTGGCGGCATGGGTGGAGGTGGCTATGAGAGCAACTATCAATCAAATGCCAATGACTATACCCACAGCAACATCGTTACCACTCAGTGGGAAGAGTTGTCCAATGTTGACACAAGTGAGTCTTTTCCTCCAGTCTCTCACTAGGTCCCCTACAGGGTGATATTTGTTTCTCAAAATTGTTTGTCTTTGACAACAGAATGGTCGAAAACAAACTTGGTACAAGACGCTGGAATTTCAGGTGGTTTTTTGTTTGCTCTTGGGTTAGTTAGGACTGGTGTTCAAAGTGGTGTCGATGTAATTTCAAACATTAAGTGTACTTCTGATCCTGCATTGGTAAGCACACTTTAATTGGATGTCCTTTTTGTGGCTGACTTTTTAAAGCTCATCACAGCTGATCTCCCTCTCCCACAGAATATTCCGTGCACAACTGTGTCGGTAAGACTATTGCTCGTACTATACTCACATGACAGAATGTTGAACTTAACATCTCCTGTTCCCCTTTAGAATGTTGGATTTTTGGCCTGGCATATTGCTTTGATCATTTTGAACTTTGCTTACGATATTTATGAGTTTTCTATTGCCGAAACAACCGAAATTGGCAATGTTGGGCCCATTGAGGCCTGGGAAATCCTGCAAGTTCAAGTCGAGAACAACAACAAAATGTAAGTCAAGGGGTTAAAAGATTTGTTCTCTTTGGATTTTCTTTAATGAATGATTTGCTTGCGGACTCTACCAGGTATGAAGCCATGCGCACTAACTTTGAAGCTGCTGTCAAGGTTGACAGCAATCTGGAAGGTCTTGGTGATCTTCTTGCTTCGTTGGTGGGTTTCCTTGGCAATGATGATGACGACAGCAATGGCAAAGTCAACATGATTATTTCAAAGCTTTCAAGCCTGGACGAGACATGCCAGGGAAGGCGTGCTCTGATGGATGTGAGCCGTTCTACTGCCCAATATGCCGGGTGCGACGGCAGGGATCAAGACGGTGATGGAGCCATTGACAACTGTGAAGAAGACAAATGTAAGAACTCTAGTGAACCAAGGATGATGCTGTTAAGTTGGCACTAAGCTGTCTTTGTCAACCCCCTACCCCCAGTCCCACCGTCAGTGCTTATCCGCTCTTCTTTGAAGTTAACAGATGATGGAGAGACAAAGCATGTCGAAAGCGAGGTCTTCAGTTCTGCTGAGAAGGCAGTTGTCTCTCTACGTGGAGCGTTGTCAGTTTCAGATGACTGTGCTGCGGAGGAGGATCTGGCGCTGAACTTGACTGTCAAAGGAATCAGTGAATGTCAAGCTGTTATATCAGCTGCTCCTATCCACTGGTGCAATGATGTCCCTGTTGTCGGTAAGATTCAAGAGTTCTCGGTCCGTGTGGACACCAAGCCTCCTGTGATTAGCTGTGGCTTCCATGCTTCAACTGCACCTGGCAAAAAGATGCTCTATGTGGAAGATGTGCACGAGTTCTTTGATGCTGGGTTATTCCTCCAGGTGGAAGATTCCTGTTCTGAAAAAGTAGATGTGGATGTGTCCATCACGAGTAACGAACTTGACATGACTGGGTCCAGTGCCATCCTCTCTCTCACCAAGATGAAGAACTCCACCCAAACAGCCCCAAATCTCTTTTTGAACCAAGCTACTTGCTCCAGCACCCAGAAGGCTGGCTTCTGTCGAGAGAGTCCCACCGGCAGCCGGGTCTATGAGGTTTCGGTGAAAGCCACAGATGCTACGGGCTGGTCTGGATCTGATACTTGCAATGTGATTGTTGCTCCATTGAAAATGGCAAGTGATGAGCGAGAGCTTCTCCACGACGGTCTGAACCTGGAGGAAGGAGCGAAGATGGTGGAGGAGTCTGGTGCTCAGCACCTGATTGAATCGGTCAGTTTTGTTCATCACTTCTAACCTGGTTGGTTGTCTGCATGCATGGCTTTTGAGTGGAGTGTGATGTGATGTGCTTCACTACAGCCCAATGGTGGAGGCAAGGAGGCTCTAGCTTCTACTACATGCAAGGAGAGAGAGTGTGCATGCATGTACAAAGAGCAGGTCCTTCCATCCACTATATATAAGGATACTACATGATAAATATTTTACCGAAACATTTTGCATGGATCTCGTGCAACTTTTAAAATGGTGGCTCATGCTGCCATGCATGCAACTATAGCATAGCGCGCACAGTTGCAAGCCTGTTTCCTCTGTCTAGAGCGCACTCTCACACCACTCCGCACCATGACAAGAGGATAGACAGATGTAGTTTGTTCTTATAATAGAGTAGAGGTGCCCCGCACCCCCCACTGTTAGTGTAAGAGTGACTGGAGAGCAAGGCGGCAGAGGTGCTAGTTCTGAAACAGCAGCCAAAATTGGCTGAAAGTGAGTTCTTTTGCCTGTCACCGGAGATGCCTTTCGTGCTGCCAGGTCGTCAAGCTTTATAGCTACTGGTAGTCTCCTCTGAGTACGAATGAATGGTGCATCTGACTGCAGCTCTTACACTTTGAAAAGTGTTGTCACCTTGCCGTTGGCTAGCATTGTCTTGCGGGCCTTGGTCTTCTTGTAGACTTTTCCCGCCGGAGGCTTGTAGCCGTGATCTGTGTCGTATCTCTAGCTAGTTGGTCCGTCGATAGCTTCCGATGTGTCATCTTGGAGAACCTGCACTGTCGCATATATAGTGCTCCTAGCTGTCGCATCTAGAGTTTGGAGAATTTTTCAAACAGCTGCTTCCTGGGCACCTCCTTCGATTTGATGCAGCAAGGTACCGTAGCGAAAGCATGCAAATAAGACCAAGCCAAACCTCTCGAGCTCCGCAAAGGAATGAATAAATTCGTAGAAGATGAAGACAGTACCGTCGTGGAATGAAGAGTAGATAATCCGAGGACGCAGCCTGCTGAGGATAACACACCCATTTCGGGTTGGACAGAAGAAGAGTAGATAATTCATACACGTAGTAGCAATTGAATACGAGTGGAAGTCTTCGCGTCGTTGATATTTTCGGGTCGTTGGCGCCATGGTCGCTCCGGAAGAACACCGACCGAAGAAGAAGAGTTGATCGGTGCCATTGTTGGTTTGGTTTGAGAGGAGCCACTGCTCGGGCGGACGGGGTAATTGACGGTAGCCGCTTGTTGCATTCGTGGTAGACGCGCCATAGCTCCGATCGATCGATCGCTCCATGAAAGGAGAAGTGCCATGGTCGCTCCGTGGAAGCTAGCTAGAAGAAGCCATTGATCGAACGGAAGCAGCTGTGGCTAGCTTGATAATCATGGTCGCTCCGTGGAAGCAATTATCGGCGTCCGAAAGAAGTGTCGATCCGTCGCTGCTTCCAGCCTGCCGGTATCCAAACAAGAGAGGAGTTCACTCCGGGTGCGCCTACGGACGCTACTGCTCGCCGTTCGACGCCATTGTCACCATATATATAGCAAGGTATCGAAATAATGAATAAAGAGGCGGATGCCAATGGCTTGGATCGATCATGTCTATCACTCGGCGGCCATCTCTGCGCACATCTACCATGCATCCATGTGCACACCCCAAAACCCCGACTGTCCCTCAGCTGCTGAGAAGGGAAAACAAGCACAAACATGCAGGTGAGTCCAAGTGGGCGACGCTGCGCTGCATGGCCAGATCAATATATAGTTATTGTTGTGACTGTTGAGTGATTCGATCGTGACGAAAATATCTCTACTCTCTTATCTTTTGGGGAGGGTGTTGGAGGAGGGTATGTATACCGGTATAGTCCCAGCAATCTCAACCACCATGCATTTGCGCAGCTCGATTTGTCAACCATATCCTGGTCGCATGATGTATCGCACCTTGTCGAAAGTGCTGCCATGGTTGAGTTGATGCATATCCTTTGCAGACTCCTCGTGTCAAGATGCGGCTCCGTCCGTTCCTTCGAATCCAGACTGCTCGAGACTCGACTCGATCCACCTGGTTGAACTTTCCAAGTAGTAGACTAAGTACAGTAAGTGGATCGAAGTTCGACGTTCAACTATGAAAGGTCCTAGCCACACCAATTCTACGCAGAAATAATTGTAGCAACCTCTGCAACTAGGCTCTAATTATTATCCGAGTTTGCGAAGTTCATAGAACCGAAAGTACGAGTACTGGAGTATTAGAGTACTCCATTCCTCTAAGCAAATTACCTTAAGAGGGGAAAACAGAAGGAATCAGACTCGATTCCCAAAAACAAGAGAATTAAAGTACCGGAGGTACAGTATCGACTTTCTTTATTCTTTGGAGTATTCTTTAAACCATACCGGTACTGCCGGTAGCGCTGGTACACTGGTACAGCGTAAAAAGTTGGTAGTCAAATCTGCATCGTGTCCTCCCCTCGAGCTCTGTCCCCATCCTCATCTCAGCTCTCTCTACTACTAGCTAGCTAGTAATCCATACCAGTAGTAACTTCCCACTTTAGCCATCACCGCCCTGCATTTTTCTATGAAGGCACAAAAAGATCAAGCAGTGCCATACAAAGATGACGACAACCGAGACCCAAACCAACACGAGGAACCATCAACATGAAGAGGCTAAGGAGGAGCAGGAGCACCATGTTGACCAGCCTGTGCCAGATGAGTGCCATCATCAGGCGGTGGCCATTCCTGATGAAGCAAAGATGAACCACACACACACAGTAACGGACACCAATGATGAGACATCTGGCCACCGTGACGGCGAGTCGAGACACGTGTATCAGTTGTATCAGAAGGATAGGATAATACGAAGCGGTTTAGCTGAAGGCGCTGCGGACGATTCAAAGGACACCAATGATGAGACATCTGGCCACCGTGCCAATGAGTCCCGGAACATGTACCATTTCGATCAGAAGGATAGGATAATACGAAGCGGTTTAGCTGAAGGCGCTGCGGACGATTCAAAGGACACCAATGATGAGTCATCTGGCCACCATGACGACGAGTCGAGACGCGAGTACAAATTCCATCAGAAGGATAGGATAATTCGCCACGTTTTCGGTGAGGACTCTGAAGACAATTCAAGTTCTCCCAACTCCGCTGTTGGAAAAGATTTGTTCAGGGTAGGAAGAAAAGAAGGAGCCAAAAATAATGAACATCAACAGGAATTGGTAGCGAATGAACCGCAACGACAGCAAAATACGGTCCAACAAGTCGGGGCCTTTGCCGTGGAAGGAATCGGGGCGGTTGAAGAAAGAAGTAGTGAAATGAACGATGATCTGGTCATTCACAACAGTGATGCTGACAACAACAACAACAATGAAGCAGTCATCGACGGAGCTGTTCTTGTGGATAACGATGCAACTCTTGCAGATCAAACAGTCTTCATGGAACAAGGGACAAGACGCAGGGGCAACAAACAAGAAGTGATTGAAGGAACAATCATGCAGAACAGTGATGTCCAAAGTAATGTGTATCCCTGGTTAGGCTTGGCCTTCCTGGCTTCGACTGGTTTGGTGGTTTTTCTTGCCTTGTACCTTCCTTCGAGTTCCAACCAATCTAGTGTTGGTAGCAATAGGAGTCAGACTGTGCATGACGCTGACAAGCACTCTCCAATCATCTATCCACCCTATCAAGATGATTTGCCCACAACCACTCTCAAGGTAATCCTGAACAAATCCACCCCCGAGTATCTTGCCAATGTCTGGGTGTGGAATGACCCTAATCTTGCCAGCTACTCTCCTGAAAGACAACATCAACGGTTTGATTTGGCATACTGTTACTACATGTCAAATGGTCAGAACTGGTTCCGAAATGACCACTGGCTCAGCTATGATGTCAACGAATGTGACTGGTTCACACAAGCCCACAACGAGAGCATTCTACACTATGACAACTATCCTGTCTGTGACGAGAACAACACTCTCCTCATTCTCAACCTAAACTCGAACAATCTGCAGGGGACCCTGCCAGCAGTCAGCCGATTGTTACCAAATCTTCGGACATTTGATATTGGGAACAACCAGTTGCATGGAGAAGTTCCAACCGGGGCTGCTGCAACTAATGAAGTCATGGAGGTGTTCATTGTTTCCAACAACTACTTTGAAGGTCAGATGATTGCCAGTGGTGGCTTTAGATCTTTTGGGCTACGAGTGGGCAAGCTGGATGGCAACAAGCTGCTTGGATACCATGATCCCCTCCTCAAGTATCTGACAAAGTTGGAAATCATGAATGTTTCCAGCAATCTCTATGGGGTCTATGGCAGCAAGCTTGCAGAGATGATTGAAAGTAAGAGTATCTACTACTTTGGGAGTGCGGATAATATGTTCACTGGAACCATCCCAACCACACTGGGGATCCTCCCAACTTTGGAAACCATTGATATCCACGGCAATCCAGGTTTGTTCGGTACGATACCTACAGAGCTCGGAGCTTTGACCAACCTGGCTCTTTTGGATGTGTCCTATACAAACATTTCAGGACCAGTCCCCACCAAGCTTTGTGAACTAGTTGAAAGTGGCTTGCTGAAGATTCGGGCCAACTGCAGCCTTGTGGACTGCTGCTCTATGAACTCCACCCTCCAAACAGTAGATCCTAGCTAGTATTTTTTACCTTGATAATACATAGTTTTTGCCTGTCATTGAGGGCGGTGGGTATTCTATTTTCGTAGGTACAGGTATGGCTAGCTGATTCTTGGCTAGGAAGGAAGCGAACGAGCGAAAGGAGCCGTATATGGGATTTCAGGGAGGTGGCATCCCGTACTTGTGATGGTGCCTATCTGGTCCGGTAGTCCCGGCGAGAAGCAACGAATCATAAGTCTGGCCCTCGCCGTAGATAACTTCCTTACTATGTAAAAACCCCATACTCAAGCAAAGGATCGGGGACTGTAGCCAAGTAGGGAAGCACCGCTACCGTACTGACGGTAGCATGTGGGTACCGTATCTGGTGCCGTACGGTACCGGCACAGCTGTGCGATGGGAGTGCATCTCTAGCTAGATGGTGCGGTAGTCTCGGCATCAGGGAGGGACGAATAGAATCTGAAGCAAAGAATCGAGAAATCAAGTCACGGAGGAAGCACCATTCCGGTACCTGCTATCTAGGTGTAACTCCACCCTATCGGTGCCCAATAGATCCTACTAGAATGAGAACATGGTAATACATAAGCTTTGCCTGTCATTTAGGTGGAGGGTATTCTCTGTTCGTGGCTGGGTATGGTCAGTTGTGTGATGGGGGAGCTTCTTCTGGCTCGGAAGGAAGCGACCTTAGCAAGAAGGAGCGGATGAAACAACTTACCACCCCCCATCTTGCATGGAGGTGGCATATCTCCAGAGGTTGAGCGCTGGGAGTGCATCTCTATTACCGGTAGAGAGGTTACCGTACTGTAGTCTCCGACAGGGCACGGATCCCAATGCCACCACTTTACTCCGTTTGTTGTCTCTGCTGATGGTCTCCTTGGGGCCGAAGCTGAGGCACTCGCGAAACGTATTTCCGCTTTGCTCGCTGCAAAGTGGGAACGCCCTTACTCAGTGGTGCGTGGCTACGTTAATGCTCGGCTCAGCCTAGCTATTCTTCGGGCCCGCCACCTCTGCATGCGTGGCTCTCGTGTCCCTGCTGGCACAATGAGCTACCGTCGTTCTCTCTGGGATGCCGATGGTGCCCTTGCACTCTTCCGCTAATTTTGCTCCCTTGTCCTTCCTGGTTTTCCTCCATGCACCCCCCTTCCCTGCCCCCCCCTGTTTTGCCCTGTTCGAGTCCTCATTGCTCTCCCCGTCTGCCCACCACACCAGCCACCCACCACCGCAGCCACTGCTTTGCCTAGCCTCGCCCCCCTCGCTCCTTAACGTATCTATTTAGTATTTACCTCCGCAGTCTTGCTGCCAGAGCCCTCAACCCCTTTAATTGTTTTTCCTGCTACGGTGGTCCCTGCAGGTATAAGGGTAGGGTTAGAATACAAATAAGTCAGCAAAAACTAAGTAAGTATCCTAGCTAGGATGGTGCAAACCAGCTAAAGCAATTTACATCCATCCTAGTAGGGGGGTCTGTTTCTACCAGGAAAAACTCTAAAGCCAGCGAAAGCTATATAACTAGTATTCTAGCTAGCTAGGGGTGTCTGCTTCTAGCTTGCTATGGGAATCTGCTTCTAGCTAGGGGGGATTTGCTTCTAGCTAGCTAAGCACAAGTTAAGCACTAGCTAAGCCCTAGAGGTGTCTGCTTCTAGTTAGCTAGCTACAGTAGGGGTATCTGCTTCTGCACTGAAACCTTTCTGCCGAGGTTACACAGCTCCGCTGGCTTAATGTTCACCAAAAAAAAAAATCAAAGAGGAAGCACAATGCCACCACCGCCTCCCTCCGCAGAAGTCTAAACCAACTTCGCTGATTTGTGGGAGGAATCAACGCATCCATGGCATCATCGCCCATCTGCAGAACCGATGGAGATGGGGATCCGAGGAAGAGACCATGACGATCCGCGACGAAACTGTCCATAGAAGCACTCACTGCACGGCTATGATCTCTTGTCTCCATCATATGCATCATCAGCATGCCTCTGCTTCCTAGCAAGGTTTTCCTGACTGGAATGCCAGGAGTCGGCAAGACCACTTGCATTCAAAATGCCGTGGCCGTTTTGAAGGGCAATCAGGACGATTCTTCCGTCCATCTGGCTGGATTTTACACTCGAGAATGCCGTGGCGACAATGGACAACGAATTGGATTTGACATTGTCGAATACTCGTCGACATCCACAAGAACGGTGCCATTGGCACGCGTGGGGTCTACGAAACCCACCGTGGGAAAGTACTCGGTGCTGGTGGACAATGTCCAAAAGCACATGGTGGGGGCACTGCAACAAAGACAGCGAGAACCAGGCACTACTGCGAAACCAACTCTTGCCGTCTTGGACGAAGTCGGGAAAATGGAACTCTTGTGCCCCGAATTCTTTCCGGCAGTTTGGGATCATTTGAATACTGCCGACGACGACACAGTCGTAACTCTTGGTACACTGCCACTGCCCAAGCGTCCCATCCGTCAAGTAGAGAGAATACTGGCACGAAAGGATGTGCTGGTACTACTGGTCACTCAAGCGAATCGAAATCAATTGACGCGAGATTTGAGGGAATACGTCAAGCTTCGGCTGTTGGACCGGCCTGCATGTGATGACGCAAATCAGGTCATAATAGCAAAGATGATGTCGTACCAGTTTCAGAAATCCAATGACAGCGGCAATGGCAACAACAGCAACAAATACGCAGCTACAAGGACACTCCATCCGGACAACAGCCAAAACTCTGGTGGTGATCGAGCCACCAAAAGTGTGCATGATTCAACCGCTAGCAAGCAGCAATCCGCATCCAACAAAACCGACCACCATTATCCAACGGCACAGCCATGCGGGCCACTTGTATCCACCAATAGACAACCCAAGGTCCTACTCTTGGGGGACACGGCCTCTCCCATGCCCACAGAAACACCCATTTTGGCCTACAGTGAACGCTCGATGTGGACCGTGCTGGCCCAGGTAGTGCATCATGATTGTCATGATGGCTCATCGCCGGGAAAGTACGTGCTGCTCCGACAAGCCACGCTTGCCTATGGGATTGCCATTTGGGATGTACTTGCAAACGTGCACGAAAAGAAGAACAATCACAACAACAATCACAAGAGCATAACTAGGGGACAACCACAATCAAGAGAGACTCTCAACGATATACCTGCCTTTTTGAAGCAGTATCCCTCCATTGAAACGATCTGTTTCATTGGTGCCAAGGCTCACAAAAGCTTTCAAAAGTATTATCGAAAAGGACGTAGTAACTCGGCAACGACAACCACCACCAAGTTCACGCTCTCTCCGGAAAGGACATTGGATCTTGTCATCTTGCCGAGCTCTAGTGAACGAAATCACATGCCGCTGGAAGAAAAGGTGGCGCAGTGGAAAGCAGTGTTGGAACGTTGTGGGTGTGGTGGGATCAAGTAGCTGATCAATTGAGACATGTTACGGTGCGTTCACAGGGTCCGCATTTTTCTGATCGGCGCCGAGGACGCACTTCGCTTCCGTGGTATCCGCCACTTCTGATGGTTGTGTGAAAATTCCGCCTAAGACTCGACTACAGGAGGCAGAGCTTGCCAGCAAAGCTCTAAGTATTTAGTTTATGAATAAACTTGTTCGGCATCTTCTATTGCAAGCACAAATCGGATAGTTATTCTGTCGGGCCCATTCCGGCAGTATTTCAAGATGACATCCACAATGTCGAAAGCTTGGCCTAGGGCAACCATTTGCATGGAGGCATTTCAGAATCTCCAAATGCCCTAGTTTTACAGCAGCTTTCCATGGAGTCTGCCTCCCGCGGACACCTATTTTGATACAACCAAACCAAGACTTCAAAGTGCCCACCTCATGCAGCGGATTCACAGGCCGAATCACATCCTCTCACGAGGACACGAGGAGCCCCTTGTGAGCACATCCAAATGCCCACTTCTAGGTAGACGCTAGCTGGTGCAGGTCCATCCCTTTTTCTCTGGCCCTTTTTCAAAAAATGCGATGACCATATCTTCAGCTGCCTCGCAAAGGTATTTCCTTTTGGCGTCCAATGCATCGAATCAATCGGTGCATGCAGTTTTTGTCTCTCAGCGCTCCATGACTGAACGGAAGGCCAATCACGGAGCTTTGAAGATAACAAACAAGAGGCCCCACGGTAATTGAAATGAGGGCTGTCAGCTGCTTCACTAGTAGATACATCTACCCCTTGAGCAAGCCAGTGATAGGGAACCCAGCAGCACTGCTCCCAGCTAGAGCTATCCTGATTTCAGCCAGTTAGCATTAGCTAGCTACCCACCAAGCAACTCTCCCAGCTAGTGGTGTGGCTCCCTAGCAGTTCTCCCAGATCATTCCCAGCCAGTGATACCGTAGCCCTAGCAGTTCTCCCAAACTAGCTCCATCCCCAGTTCCCAGCCCTAGCCATTCTCTCAGATCTTCTCCAACTTCCATCAAGTAAACCTAGACCCAGTCCAAGTACCATGCTCTGCTAAACTACCGGAACCGTACCCGGAACCGTACCCTACCAAGCTAGAGCTACTAGTACCTGGACCCGGAACGGTACCTCACCATGCTAATAAAGCCACTGGTACCTGGACCCGGAACCGTACCTCACCATGCTAATAAAGCCACTGGTACCGTACTGAACGCTGAAACCTGAACCCTAAAAACGTTACCACGACAGACGAAAAACTAAAATCATAATAACCTAGCCAACTTCGTGGTTGGCGATCTTTCACGACCAAGAAGCCCGAAGAGCACAAGAAGCAAGTGAGTTGTAAGAAAACATACGATGAAGGGGGTTAAAACATACTAGTATCCGAGATAGTAGACTACTGATAGTTCATAAATCTGGCATCAGCTATAGTAACAGCAGCTAGCCACAAGTGTCTATCATGAGCGACAGAAACAACCGAGAGAGCCAAAGTATTGGCAAAGATGGGCCATCCCTTGGCAATACCAGTAGAAAGGAAGTGCCACCTGCACCTGCAGCTGCAGAAGCCATGAAGGTTGCGGCTCCGAAAGAGCCATCAGTTTCCGATCCACTCCCGAGCTTCCACCAAGCGAATAGGAAGAAGCATGGTCTTCATAGAACCCCAAAGGAGTTTGAGACAAAGATTGAAGCTGCCAAATTCACTCCGTCAAAGTCGCACAAACCAGGTGCCGTGAGTGTGGCCGCCACTCCCTCGGCAGCAACTCATTCGGTGGAAGATATCACACCAACAACTACCCAGAGCTCCAATGCCACCAACCACTTTCCACAGGCCAAGATGAGGAAGTCTGGGCTGCACAGAAACCCAGAAGAGTTCGGGGAAAAGATCCAAGCTGCCAGAGTCAAACCATTGGATTCAGCAAAACCAGGTGCCGTGAGTGTGGCTGGACTTCCCTCTTTCTCTAATAATGATCCTCATACAACAAGTGATGGAGAGGTGGCACACTCAATCAATGGGGCACAACCTATCAACACGAAGAAGCATGGGCTCCATAGAAACCCAAGAGATTTTGAGACAAAGGTAGATGCTGCCAGTGGTTTTATCCCGTCATATTCAACAAAGCCAGGAGTCGTGAATGTGGCTGCAACTCCCTCCTTATTGTCCGATCATTTCGCGCACATGACTCCGCCCACACAAGCGAGCTTACATGGCTCTACCAGTACTGGGAATGCATCCTCTGTGGCCGTTTCAACCAACGTCAAGCGGAGTCTACACCACAACTCTGGAGGGGTCAAGACAACGACTGATACAGCAAGAGCATTTCCAACCAATTCCCAGCAAACATCCAAGGACAGAAACAGCACTGTTACCGGTAGCATTGTCACATCTAGGGGTCTTCGCAAGAAGCAAGCTGTCACTACTCATGCAGAGTCAAATGAATCGGAGGAAAACACCGCTACAATTTCTGTCATTGAAGACTTGGATCCAGGTGCCAGCAAGAACCGTCGAAACCCTCTCATGGTACCCAAAACTGTTACTAATGATCTCCATATGGGCCTGGTAGAAGCCATGCCAGTGATAGAAGACTCCGCCCGCCCCATCCTGCCCCATGCTCAACAAGTACATAATGATGACCTCGAAGCAGAAAGGGAAGCTCAGTCAGAAAAGGAAGCTAAAGAAAAAGAATGCGTAAGAATTGGTCTGGCTATCATTGCAATCTCATTGTTGGTCCTGGCTCTTGGACTTGGGTTTGGCCTTTCCGCCCAAAAGGATGAAATTATTGTGTTGCCAGAGGCTCCTACGATCTATTTGTCGATGGAACCCTCAGAAGTGCCGTCCTCTGCCCCCACTAGATCGCTGGATGCACTCATGATGGACCTTCCAATCTCTACCCTTACGAACATTGGCAACAGTAGCACCCCTCAATGGCATGCTTGGCAGTGGTTATCAAACCACAAAAATCTGACCAAGCTTCCAGATTGGAGAAAGGAACAACTTTTTGCTTTGGCAACATTTTATTATGCATTTGAGGGCCCCAACTGGCCTGATGATATCAAGAATGATTGGATGCAGGATGAGGGCAGACTTGAGGATGAATGCCTGTGGTTTTCCGCTGAATTTGGGTCAGTCCTTTTTGATGGTACTTACGATGATTATGATGAGGCTTTTGAAGTTGATCCATGCAACAAGAATGGCAGATATCAACATCTGGCGCTTAGTCGTCTACAACTTGCTAACCTTACTCCAGCTGTTCCACCTGAGATTGCACTTCTTACCGATTTGTCCATTTTGGGTTTGCCATTGAATAATCTCAGTGGTACAATGGATGCGATTTTGCCATCAGAGCTCTTGACTGTGGGAAACTTGACCATGATCAACATTCACAGCAACGATCTTACAGGACAACTGCCATCCGAGTTTGGCCTTCTGACAAGTCTGACATACCTTCAAGTGGGGAGGAACAAATTTGGTGGACAAGTGCCAACGGATGTTGGTAGGCTCACCGGCATTCAAAAGCTAAGCATGTACATCAACGATTTTACAGGGTCTCTTCCAAGTGAGCTTGGGCAGTTGACCAGCATCCAAGAGCTCAGAATGTACACCAACGCTTTTACAGGGTCTCTTCCAAGTGAGCTTGGGCAGTTGACCAACAGTCAAGTGCTAAGAATGTACAGCAACGCTTTTACAGGGTCTCTCCCAAGCGAGCTTGGGCAGTTGACCAACATGACAGTTTTCAGCTGCCACCGGAACTCCCTCAATGGTACTTTGCCAACTGACTTGGGTAGGCTGACCAGCATACAAGAGCTCAGAATGTACAGCAACGCTTTTACAGGGTCTCTTCCAAGTGAGCTTGGGCAGTTGACCAACATTCAAGTGCTAAGAATGTACAGCAACGCTTTTACAGGGTCTCTCCCCAGCGAGCTTGGGCAGTTGACCAACATTCAAGTGCTAAGAATGTACACCAACGCTTTTACAGGGTCTCTTCCAAGTGAGCTTGGGCAGTTGACCAACATTCAAGTGCTAAGAATGTACAGCAACGCTTTTACAGGGTCTCTCCCAAGCGAGCTTGGGCAGTTGACCAACATGACAGTTTTCAGCTGCTACCGGAACTCCCTCAATGGTACTTTGCCGACTGACTTGGGTAGGCTGACCAGCATACAAGAGCTCAGAATGTACAGCAACGCTTTTACAGGGTCTCTTCCAAGCGAACTTGGGCAGTTGACCAACATGGCAGATTTTAGCTGCCGCCGGAACTCCCTCAATGGCAGCATCCCTTCTGAGCTTGGGCAGTTATCCAATATAGCAAAGTTGAACTTGCGGGACAATTCTCTTTCAGGTTATCTGCCAACTGAAGCTGGATTGCTGACAAAACTTACTGAGCTGAGTCTGAGAAGCAATTCCCTTTTTGGGTCTCTGCCAACTCAAATTGGCTTGCTGACACAACTGACTGCACTGAGTCTGAGAAGTAATTCATTGGCTGAACCCTTGCCTAGTGAGCTTGGACTGCTGTCGCAGCTGTCTGATCTGTGGGCTTATGACTGTTTCTTCTCTGGTGCCATTCCTAGCGAAATTGGGTTGATGGAATCCCTGCGGATACTGAACCTTCGCAACAATTCCTTTGTTGGTTTGATCATCTCTGAATTGGGGCAGCTTGGAAACCTACAAGAACTTGATCTTTCACTGAGTCCACCCTCCCTGAGAGGACAGTTTCCTTTTGATTCCTTGCCTGGTAGCCTAGGATACCTGAACATCTCTGGCAGTCCTGGTTTGGTAGGTTCCATTCCAGAAAAGCTCTGTTTCCTTCAAAACTCCTCTTGCTCTTTTGGCGAGGACGATGATCAGTGCTACATTGACTTTGATTGTTCCAACCTACTCTGTGGATGTGATTGTGAATGTTGAGTGGTTCGAGTAGAAATATTCCATTGATTAGCAAATCCATCTGTCTGTACTCTGCATTGCTTTAAGAGTTGGAACAAAAATAGGCAGCTGTAGTTGCATTCGTTGTCACAGGTCTACTAGCTAGCTTAATTGCAAGAGCTCTAAAACTCCTTCCAGAGTACGTCCAAGTTGATGAGTGCCACCTGGCTGTCAATTTCTCTACTGCTTTTGGTGGTACCGGAACCAGTATTTTACAATCTTCCAAGAGCAAAGCTTTCCACATTAGTCCTCCATGGTCCAATCATAAGGGTGCCACGTGGAATAAAAATGAGGCTTGCCATGGCACCATGGCAGCCCAAGATCCCAGATCCGAGATCTGGTGCTACATGAACAAGCCCGCCACATGTGCACAGGGGTGGCAGTCCTCGGTCACAATCCACGCTGTCCTCCTTTTCCAATCTAGCGGTACATGAGTACATCTATCAGCATCACCACTGGCCAGGCTCGTTTTACCCTAACAGAGATCCATTATGCCCGGGCCATTACCACCTTGCGACTGATACTCGGTGCCTCCGTTGTGCCGGCAAAGATGAGGACAAGGACGATTGAACGCTGCATGGCACAACCGTTGTTTCCCTGTCATGCTCGTGAGATAATGGCCAATCAGAACAAAGCAAAATGAAGATCTTCGGTCTTCTGCCATTTGGGGGGGATGTTTGTGAGCTGAGATGCTCTACCGATAGGGTACCGGTACGGCGTTACAGTACGGTACCAGTACCGGTAGGCCAAACTCGGGTGTTAAATAAATTTAAATAAAATGATGGCCTAACAGAATGAACTCTGAGATGGGGTTTTAAGGTGGTCACATGAGGACGCACCTACCGGTACTCGTTTTCTTTGCTCTAGACTATCCTCTAAGCCAATTGCCCCAATCGCTCCCAAGAGAATAATTAGAGTCCAAAGCTGAAGCCCGCCCCTTTCTCTGGCCACCAGGTAGGCCCTTTCCGCGAGGTTCACGTTTTATTGGGCGTGTACTACCAGTACGCTGTACGCTGTACCGAACCGTCCGACGGTTTTTGCTTGGGCAATTTGCCACGACTGATTCAACCGTTATTGGCATGTTTTAAGGGGATGTTCCAGATTTAAGGGGATCTGGTTCATGGGATGTTTTCTCAAGGGATAAGAGGATGTTTTATGGTGTTTCAATGAAGGCTTAAAGGGATGTTGTGAGGACTTAAAGGATAATGTTAAGGGAATGATTCATAAATAGGTGGGTGTGAGCGATTTAAAGTGATTTTGGAAATGGCCTTCCGTCGTGGAAATTTTTAAATCCTGCGTGAAAACTGTCGGACGGTCCCGGTTCGGTGCTACTAGTAGTATTTAATTAATACTTGATGTTGGTATATCGGAAAAACGGCATTCTGAGGGTCACTTCAGAAAAGCAAGAACTCTGACTCTCCCGGTTTTAGTTAGGCCGCGGCTGGAAAGCTCCGCACAGTTACAAGCAGCACGGTGCGCTCCACGGCACAGATGAGAGGTTATGACGAAGACCGAAACCAACAGCTGCAGCCATCACAATTCCCAAGGAGGACTCTTTTTTTCGTTGTTTTGGGAAAGCCCGTAAGGAAAGAGACCATGACGAAAGAGACCGAAACCAACAAGAGGACCCATCAACATGAAGAGGTCAAGGAGGAGGAGGACGAGCACCATGTCGATCAGCCTGTGCGGAATGAGCGCCATCGTCAGGCCGTAGCAATTCCTGATGAAGCAAAGAACCAGAACCACAAAGTAAAGGACACCAATGATGAGACATCTGCCCACCATGACGGCGAGTCGAGACACGTGTATCAGTTGTATCAGAAGGATAGGATAATACGCAGCGGTTTATCTGAAGGCGGTGCAGACGATTCAAAGGACGCCAATGTTGAGGCATCTGACCACCATGACGACGAGTCGAGACGCGAGTACTACTTCCATCAGAAGGATAGGATAATTCGCCACGTTTTCGGTGAGGACTCTGAAGACAATTCAAGTTCTCCCAACTCCGCTGTTGGAAAAGATTTGTTCAGGGTAGGAAGAAAAGAAGGAGCCAAAAATAACGCACATCAACAGGAATTGGTAGCGAATGAACCGCAACGACAGCAAAATACGGTCCAACAAGTCGGGGCCTTTGCCGTGGAAGGAATCGGGGCGGTTGAAGAAAGAAGTAGTGAAATGAACGATGATCTGGTCATTCACAACAGTGATGCTAACAACAACAACAATGAAGCAGTCATCGACGAAGCTGTTCTTGTGGATGACGATTCAACTCTTGGAGATGAAGCAGTCTTCATGGAACAAGGGACAAGACGCAGGGGCAACAAACAAGAAGTGATTGAAGGAACAATCATGCAGAACAGTGATGTCCAAAGTAATGTGTATCCCTGGTTAGGCTTGGCCTTCCTGGCTGTGACTGGTTTGGTGGTTTTTCTTGCTTTGTACCTTCCTTCGAGTTCCAACTCATCGAGTGTTGGTAGCAAAAGCACTCAGACTGTGGACGGCGCTGCCAATAACTCTCCCATCATCTATCCACCCTTTCAGGATGATTTGCCCACAATCACTCTCAAGGCCTTTCTCAACACATCCACCCCCGAGTATCTTGCCAATGCCTGGATGTGGAACGACCCTCATCTTGCCAGCTACTCTCACGGAAGACAACATCAAAGGTTTGATTTGGCATACTGTTACTACATGACAAATGGTCACAACTGGTTCCGAAATGACCACTGGCTGAGCTATGATGTCAACGAATGTGACTGGTTCACACAGGCCCACAACGAGAGCATTCTACACTATGACAACTATCCCGTCTGTGATGAGAACAACACTCTCCTCATTCTCAACCTAAACTCTAACAATCTGCAGGGGACACTTCCAGTAGTCAACCGATTCCTACCAAATATTCTGACATTGGATGTTGGGAACAACCAGCTGCATGGAGCTGCTCCAAGCGGGGCTGCTGCAACTAATGAAGTCCTGGAGGTGTTCATTGTATCCAACAACTACTTTGAAGGTCAGTTGATTTCCAGTGGTGGCTTCAAACCATTTGGGATACGAATCGTCAAGCTGGATGGCAACAATCTGCTTGGATATCTCGATCCCCTCCACAAGTACATGACCAAGTTGGAAATCGTGAACGTTACTGGGAATCTCTTTGGGCTCTTTGGTTCCAAGCTTGCAGAGACGCTTGGCAGTAAGAGTCTCTACTACTTTGGGAATGGGGATAACCTGCTCACTGGAACCATTCCCAGCACACTCGGATTGATCCCAGCTTTGGAAACCATTGATATCCACGGCAATCCAGGTTTGCTTGGTACGATACCGACAGAGCTTGGAGAGTTGTCCAACCTGGCTCTTTTGGATGTGTCCTATACAAACATTTCTGGACCAGTCCCTACCAAGCTCTGTGAACGAGTTGAAACTGGCTTGCTGGAGATTCGGGCCAACAGCAGCCTTGTAGACAGCTGCTCTGTGAACTCCACCCCACCAAATAGATACTAGAATTTGAAGGTGAGGAGCCGGAGGATTGCTCCCTGGGCCAGCCCATCCAAGTTCGGTGATTCGGTGCGGTTACTCAAGGCTGCCGCTATCTGCGACACCGGTTGATCGGTCCATTGAATTCGTTTGGAAGCCGCCAGGAAGCCCTCGTCGCGGGCTCATGTGGTACATTTAGTTAGCATTAACCCTAATAAAGATCCAATATCTTTCTTGGCTTCGTGTGGTCCCCGGCACAGGCACCAATTGAGATGACACAACAACCACTGCCTATCTCATCTATTGAAATAGAGCTAGCCACCTGCGTTTCCTGGTCTCTGTATACTTCCCAATACCTGGTAGAAGTTGAACAACTAACTCATCCTGACAAGAAAGACCGAAGATTCTGCTGCTTCGAAGGTTTTAAAAGACCCCAAACCCTCTGACAATATTACCCTTTATGCACGCCTTTTCCAGTGGCTCGAAAAGACCTTCCTTTCCCCACCCAATTTCCAATAAGACTAGAACCCACTCCAGTTCCGACCATTCTCATCCATCAAGCCATCATGAGTAAAGAAACGGCCGCTGACATTCTCATCAAGAATACCACCACATCGCTGACGCGAAAGACGGTGGATGACCCTACTACAATTCGCATCATGGTGTTGGTCTCTACGACTTCTGGCAGCAGGAGGCAACTGAGCAATCAGGAACGATCCATTGCCATGTTGGAGGCACTGGGCATTCCCTTTGAAACGCTCAATTGTGCCATGCCCGAGTATAGAGAAGAACGTGACATCTACTTTGAACTTTCTGGAGTCCAAGGAGATTATCCGCAATTCTTTTTAATCAAACCGTCCGCCGAGGACGACGACAAGAAAACCACTTATCTGGGACAATTCGATGACATGGAGGGATGCAATGAAAGATCCAATCTTCCCAAAGAGTCCCTCAAGGAGAGTGATGTCACGTGGGATTCCATCATGGGTACGACCGACACATACAACAATAAAGGATTCAACCCAGGCGAGGGTGCAGTCGATGACGACGATGATAGCGTAGGAAGTGGGGGTGGAGGTATTTATGCGGATCTTTAATGAGTGAATTATTTTAAATGCAACAAATTGGAATGGACAGCCATTCCCATTAGTAATGCCAAGGCAACACACACCACCGTGAATTTGTGATGCAGATAAAGCTAGCAAACCACTTGCTTGATAGATTGTTGTGACTTAAAAACTAGATACTACTTTTTGAAAATCATGGAGCTGCTAGCTAGCTAGGTGTACGTATCTGATGATGCTGAGAGGCAATGCCAGTTATGTGGCGATGACTTGGAGGAGTGCGGGATTAGCTAGCTCCAATCAGTACATGTAGGCGATGATAGGTTCTTCAGGATTTGCAATTGGTCCCCGACGGAACTTCATAGCGAAGTAGTGGTGCGTACTCGTTTAGCCATACCGGTACAAGGGAGGTATTGGTAGATGGCTTTCCAAATCTATGGCTCACGAGATACTGCAGGTACGCAACAGAAGCCCCTGGCATGAAACGAGCAGCATCGAGGACTGGAAAGCAGTCTCGTAACTATAGTAACACCTACGGCTACATCTTTGAGCTCTCTCATGTGTTAGCTAGCTAGCTAGCTAGCTAGCTAGCAATGGCAGTGAATGTTTGTGTGTGTGGCTGTCTCTAATACATTAGCTAAAATCGAACAAGAACAAAAAGGCAATGCCTTCATCATTGGCAGCAATCAAAAATGGACGATGAGCAATCGCATCTCTTCAGGTTGCTGCCCGTTGGTTGGTTGGTCGGTGGCAGATCGTCGTCTAAGGGGAAAATTGGAAGTGGGGGAATGCTCAACCTTTTGAAGCATGTGCAAAATTGTCGTCTTAACGTAATGGAAAACTGAAAGATCATTCATTCATTCATCCTGTAGCTAATAGGATCATGGAAACCATCCAAGAGCTCGGGCAGAGGCAATAAATGCTTCCTTACTTTGTCGATGAACCGTATCAAAAGATTCGATGGCATCCTGCTCCTTCTCCACTTGATACTCCTTCTGGATGAGTTCCTTGTCGGTCATGACGTGAAAGATGCGTCGCAACGTGCCATCCAATCCCAGGTCTCGGGACACACCATATTCCGGATGGGCTTGAAACGTCACGGTATATGGTTTATTGGCGGATGGAAACGCTTGGGCATCCGCTGCACTGGCAAAGTAGGCTGCCGCTTGCACGGGCAACTCATCTTCGGTTCCCAAAGCCACGGCACAGGGAGGAAGTTTCTGGACCATGTCGCCGTGTGTATAATACAAATTGTGTTGTTTCCCAAACAAGGCAGCCCCCGCGGGTGTAGTGGTCATGGCATACCGTCCGGCCCGGGATCCACGCGGATATTTTTGAGCCTGCCCGTCCTCAAAGGAATGGGCGAATACTTGATGCCCAAAACAAATGCCGAGGGTGGGACGACGATGCGCCACAATTTCGTTTTGAATGACATGTTTGAGTTTTTCAATCCAGGGGTCCGTGTCGTAGGCGGCCGCAAAGGACCCGGGCAAGAGAATGCCATCGTATAGATTCCAATCGTCTGGATATTCGCCTTGTTGGACGCGATAAATGGCAATCGATACGATCCACGTTGTCGTCGGGTCGCATTCTGCCAACGACTGCACAATCAATTCCATAAAGAGCTGACCGGTGTGTTCGGTGGGACCATACGGAGGATTGTCTTCGCATCCCAGCATACAAAGACGGAGCCTGCGGGGTGGCGACGACGTAGCGGACGGGTTGACTGTCTGGCACAGAATCCGAGGACTCGACGACGAATCAACCTCGTCGTTCTTGGGTTCCACAGCAGGATCCAGCATCACCATGGTTATATAATGTATTTTTAAACTCTTCTTGGAGTAATAGATAGTCAATGCAGAAGAGATTCGGTTGTGGACGCCCAAAGTTCTGGATCCGGAGCAGAGATGAAGCAACTGGAAAGAGCAGAGAGAAAAGATACTGTGACTGACTCGACCCAGCCTTCCCAAGCAAAACACTAACTCACTGGCTTACTTGTACAGACGGTATTTCGATCCACAGAAGGTCAAACGATTGGTACAGAAAGTACAGCGGGACCGTCGTGCCGACATCGGCCTACCGCTGTAGAGGGCGGTACACTACCGCTGTGGAGGCTGTAGAGGAGATTAGCCAATCAGAATCAACGGTTCGACTGACGTCAGTCGTGCACGTCAGTCGTGCATTTCGGATTTCTCTGTGTCAGCTCGATCAGTCTCTCGTCGTGTTGTTTTCCTGTTGTTTTCGAAAGACCGACGGAGCATGCATCCAGAGGATTTCGAATAGGATTTCGATGGTCCAGAGGATTTCGAATTTGAGCGAGATAGTGAAGCAAGACCATACAACCGAGGTAATCCCGTCCGTATTCAGTAGCCGCAGAGGTACTTCGCAGAGGTGTACTTACCGCATTCAGTAGCCGCAGAGGTAATTCGCAGAGGTACTCAACGCAGCCGAGGATATACCCGCTTTCATCGCAATCCGAGGAAGCTATAGCCGCAGAGGTATTCAACGCCATCCTACCGCAGAGGTATCCATCGCAAGCCAAGGATAGCCGCAGAGGTATTCAACGCAATCCAAGGACGACGATGAGTGCGAGTAAGAAAGAGGCTCCGGCTGGTATTGACCACTACATCCGGAACTTTTACTCCAGTGGACTCTTCCCCAAGGTAGACGACAATGGCATCGTGTTCTTGTCAGCTGTCGGCAAGAAAGGGCGTGCCTCTGCGAAAACCAGGACTCCTCTAGTTGCCGGAAATTGGATCGGCATCTGCAGCAATATTTCCCACAGGGAGCAGTCCACGGAGTCTCATCTCCTGTTATGAGAGCCCTTGCAAGGAAGGAAGCTCCTGCTGCAGGCCAGGCACAAATTACAAATTTCTGGTTCAGATGGCCGCCATCAATCAACATGCCACTGGAAAGAGAAAGGCTGCTCCGAAGCAAGGCGGTCTGACCAAAGCCAAGCTGTTGGACTCCTCCACAAGCTTCGCAGACATGAAGAATTGGGCCAGGGTCCTGGGAAAGTCCATCAAAAAGACAAAGCCAGAGATGAAAGAGGTTCTGCTGCAGTGCTTTGAGGGCCAGCCAGAAGGCCATGTGTTCCACTCCCATTAGCTAGCTTGGTGGTTTGGCCCCAAGGGCCCAATCTTTAAACTTCTAAGCCCCCTGCGGGGGCCCATCCTTTTAACTTCTAGCTTAAAAAATTTTCTACAGACGGTATTTCGATCCACAGAAGGTCAAACAATTGGTACAGAAAGTACAGCGGGACCGCTGTACCGCCATCTGCCCAACCGTACACTACCGCTGTAGAGCCGCTGTAGAGGCGATTAGCCAATCAGAATGGTTCCATCTTTAAATTTCGATGACGTCAGTCGGTTGTGCTGTGCCGTCGGTTGTGCTCAGTCGTGCATGCACGTCAGTCGTGCATGCACGTCAGTCGTGCACACGATTCATCTCTGTGTCAGCTCGATCAGTCTCTCGTGGTGTTGTTTTCGAAAGACCGACGGAGCATGCATCCAGAGGATTTCGCCAGAGGATTTCGAATTTGAGCGAGATAGTGAAGCAAGACAATAAAACCGAGGTCATCCCGTCCGTATTCAGTAGCTGCAGAGGTACTTCGCAGAGGTGTACTTACCGCATTCAGTAGCCGCAGAGGTACTTCGCAGAGGTACTCACCGCAGCCAAGGATAGCCGGTTTCATCGCAATCCTCCTCCGACGATGAGTGCGAGTACGAAAGAGGCGCCGGCTGGTATCGACCACTACATCCGGAACCTGTACTCCAGTGGACGGTTCCCCAAGGTGGACGACAACGGCATGGTGTTCTTGGCGGCTGTTGGCAAGATAGGACGTGCCTCTGTGAAAGCTAGGACTCCTCTAGTGGCGGGGAAATTGGATCAATATCTGTAGCGCCATTTCCCACAAGCTTCGCAGACATAAAAGGTTGGGCCAGGGTCCTGGGAAAGTCCATCCAAAAGACAAAGCCGAAGATGCAGGAGGATCTGCTGCAGTGCTTTGAGGGCAAGCCAGAGGACCATGTCATTGTGTTCCACTCCCACTAGCTAGCTAGCTTGGTGGTTGGGCCCCAAGGGGCCCAATCTTTATGGTTCAGAGCCCCCTGCGGGGGCTCAACCTTTATAGTACTAGCTTAAAAAAATGTCTGCACAAGCTAAGGATGCAGGGAAGACTTGAAAGAGGGGGTGGACATAAGGATGTCCCACGGAGTAAGGGCCAGTTTCAGTCCTGCTTCGAAAACAACACCAGAATAGCACGACAACAACAACAAAACCTTCCTTTGGAGATGCTGCCTTCAACCAATTCATGCTCGACACCTGTTGAGAGTTTGCATAGAGTGTTATAGTATGCCTTGTAGAGGAGGAGGAGGTCTGTTTGCGTGATGTGAAAGAAACATAACATGTGTTGATGCGTCTCCACTATCGTCAACTGAAGATGTTATCTCAAAACCCGCGACCAGGCTGTTAACTTTGGCGATAGCTGGCTAGTATGGATTAACCCCTTTTATGTTTCTTTTTGCAGCATCAGATGCCCCAAAGTACACTGTACAAGATAGGTATTACATGTAGTATCAAAAACAAAGTCAATATGTGTCTTTTGCCTTTGCAAGCTACCATCTTCAAGACTGTTTCCATTGTAAAGGGCTTTTTCAGGAGCATTGGGAAAGCAAAAATCACATAATAAAGCTTTCAATACCTCATCCCACTGATGTTTCCTCTATGCAGTTTTCAAAAGTTCAAAAATTATTTATTTATGCCAAATAATGGGGTTTCCATTATAGTAAATCAAACTGCTTTTTGGGACGGAAACGTCTTGACAACGTAAACAGTCTTGCAGGTGGTAACAAGTTGGGACAATTAGGATGATGGAGGTTTTGTTGTTGTTCTCGGGCTATTCGCTTGTTATTTTGTTTCTTAAAACCAAGGAACACAGTATCCCCCGTGGGACATCCTTAATAAAATATAGCTACCTTATGCATATAGTTGTAGCTAGAAGATCTTCGTGCAAGAAGAGAAATTACATGTAGTGGTAGCAAATAGATCAAGATCCTAAATGGTTCCCACCAAACAACATCAAAGTGTTCGGAGAGGATGTTTCTTGAGACTTCTTGAAGCCCTCATCGCTGCAACGGCTTGCTGTGGTTTGGTCAATCATTTTTGGGATACTGGTGGCCAGCAAGGAGAACAGCAGTATTCAACTGATGAAAATCTGGCAATGGCAGACCTCCAACAACATCACAACAACGACCAGTAGTACTAAAGAAACAACCTCAAAAACAACAGGGTCGCTGGGTAACGGCAAGGGGTGACTGACTGATTTAACAAAACCTGCTGATAAATCCACGAATATTGCTGGTACTTCATCAGCAGATTTACGAAACCGCTGATAAACAATGAAATCCGCTGATAAATCCTTGAAACCCGCTGATAAAGTTATCAGCGGGTTTCGAATCCGCTGAAAAATCCTGTTATAGCATTCATATGAGAACCGCTGATAAGTATTCAGCGGATTTACCAAACCGCTGATAAATATTGAAACCCGCTGATAAATCCTTTAAACCCACTGATAAAGTTATCAGCGGATTTCGATTCCACTGATAAATCTTTGAATCCACTGATAAATCCAAAACTGATGATAACGGTCAAATTAGTCGTGTGTAGGATTTAACCTCCTTTACCCAACGACCCTGTATTATGGAGCGATCTAAAAATCAGCTCGAACCGTTGGATACAGGGACCACGCTTTCGCAATTCCCGAATGGACGACCACTACTATGTCCAAACAAATATACTGACTATTCCTTACTTGCTGGAACGTGACGAGCATTTAACAGATCGTTTGGAACAGACATTGGCCATTCCGGATTCCAACATTCTCAATGTTTCCTGCAAGAATCCACCATCGGAAGCCAAGCGCCTTTGGAATATTGTTCTTCACTATCTGGCCCTTCACATTCATCAGCATCTACTGGCACTATCAGAAGCACGGGCACGGCACGACAATCCACAAGCCTTTCAAAGAATTCATACAACAACATGGAAAACTTGACTTTGAACTACCGAGTCATCAATGTCCTCAATTATGGTATCGGGGCCAATGTCTACTGGTCCATGACCCATGTCTTCAAGGCTGGCAGTGGTGCACTTTGTCAATCTACCACCCAATGTCACTAAAAAGAGGATTATCGAGCTGGATCGCAACTGGTATCGTGGCCACATAAGGATTATCAATGTACATTTTGTCCATCCAGTCCTTGTGTACCAACCATAGAGGACCTCCACAATGGGTATCAGCTCAATGCCACAGAGCTACAAGGCCTGTACAAAGAGGGAACTCTACCCGGTGTCGGCTATGACGATGGTTCAACGCATGCGCGCCTGATGTTGGCCAATTGTTGCTCCAACTTTGCCCGCATCATCAAACACTTTGTGAAAGGTGGTTTTGGGGCTCATTTAGCCGGTGTGTTTCGGTGTTTGCAAGATCTGGCTGGACAATCCCTGCTATCAACTCTGCTGTTGGAAGAACACACCATGTTTGGAAAAAAAGGTCAATGCCACAAATTGTTCTTACTGCAACAACAACAAAACAGCAGTTGCGAACATACATAATAACAATGCAGTGCCGATAGAACACCTTTCAGCAACGATTCAGCAACGATTCAACAACTCTTCATAGTCTACTAGTGTTAACGACAACAGTTCTGCGAAATGACTAAGTACTAGATAGCTAGCTGTCTGTAGCTAGCTGTCTGTATCGACATCATCGTTTACCACCAAAGTGTCTCGTTCATCCATTTCCACTCTTCCCAAGAGTCAACACGACGCCTGCAATAACTCGCCGTCATTGTACTGTCCGCTTTTTCCACCCCCAATTGATCCACGACGATCAAGCACGGTTTTCCCATGATGGCGGTTTCTAATTAGTTTTTTGTAGAACGATCGAGGTGTGGTGGTGACATATCCACACTCAGAAAAATGACGTCGCCGTGACAACTTGTGACGCTAATGTGTCGCACCGTCACATCGCTAAAACTACCCTTATAAATCCAGAATGACGTCTTATTTGTCACAGTGACACCGTAAAGATAGGTGGCTAACGTGACAAGCCGACACAATAAAGAAAAAGGAGTCCACGATGACGAAAATGCCGCTGTTTGACACACAAATAGAGGCTAATAAGGCGATTAACTACACTAGAAGACTACTTGGCCAACCTGTTGCTGCGGCGGGTGCCCTTGGAGGGGAGACCGGTGCCCTTCTTGGCGTTTTTCTTGGGTTTGGCCGTGGGTTTGGGGATCTCATCGGCCGCATCCGTCTTGCCGAACAAGAGATCGGTCTGCTGCGTCATTCCCTGGCCAGTAATGTCGTCAAACTTATCGAAGAAGTCAGTGCTACACTCAGACTTGACGGAGGCCTCATCCTCTTCTTCTTCTTCCTTGGGAACAGAGCCGCGATAGATCCAAGGGCTGATCTCTTGTCCACCGACAATGAAATGGACCGTCATGGTGCCACCGTAGGAAGTCAAGCGCTTGACGATGGTGTTGTTCTCGGTGAAGACTACCTTGGAAAAGTGGAAGGCTTCCTTGAGGGCCTTCTTGATGTAGATGATCTGGTCGGTATTGATGGTGTTTTCGGAGTGGCAAACGAATGTGTTGTTTTGTCCGTCGCAGACCTCCTCCCAAGTCTCTCCCATGAGGTCAAGCCACTTGAGGATCTCACCTTTGGTTAACTTGCCATCACCATTGTCGGGCTGACCGATGTGGACGAAGACTCCAGCGTTTTCACAGGTTGTCATGATTGCAAAGAAGGTCGATTGCTCGAAGAATGAGCTTGCTAGTCGATTTTGTCCTGTTGACAACTCACCTTTTCCCGCGGTTTTCTTGCAAAGGTTTGAATTCAAATGGTCCAATTTAAACGGTAACATCGGTTTGGTTGTATTTGAATAAGCCGAGGACGAACACGTCTTACTCCCACAATTCCTTGAGACAACAAACTGGTCCTACTCCCAACAACAAACAGCAGACATGGTGGTGTGGACGACTCTTCAGGACAAGGATGGGAACGATGTTACGGCTCTTGCCACCGTCAGAACTACAACCAATGGCGTGGTCGTCCAGTCTACTGGAGAGGCTGCTCTTCAAGTGAACAAGGACGTCCCAAACCACACTCTCTTTCGTGTCTTCATTGACGGGCACCAGATCAATTTCGAGGGCAACGCGACCAGAGCCGTCACTTATTACGCCGAGCTACCCATGGAAAAGCGATGGGAGCTGACTAAGCGTCCTGTTCTTACCCGTAACAGTGGTGGACGACGCGTCTATATGCTCTGGATGGAGTTTCATGCAAACAATGGAGTCAACGTTGGCATGACCAAGCTTCAGCTCTCCATTCCTCTTGTGACCGGCAATTCAACCAAAGCCCAGCGTTTTGGTGAAGCTCTCACTTATGCGGATCAAGTGCGTCGTGAAGAGTGTCACCCTTAGCTGTGCATGTTGACTGGGACGTACTAGTAGCATTAAACAATAGTAGTAGCTTATTTGATTGTAAATACTGGTTGTAGCCACCGTCCTCTCTGCTTCGTGTTGGTGGGAGAGTGGAGGCACGGTGCATGAACCTACCTCCGATAGAATGCTGTGGCAACACTAAGCAATGGTCTACACTACAGATGCAGTCTTAACAAAGAATAGCTCTATAATAGGATTGCATTACTGAAAGAGTAGTTTCACTGATGTGCCGTCCACAAGCCAATACGGGCCAAAGCGGAGGCGAAGATTGGATCGAGGCATCAAGGCGACAGATACGAGTGCAATGACACGATCAACACAATGGCAACAAGTGCAACACATGCACGGTCATCGTCTTCTTCAACACACACGGTCGTCTTTAGATCATCTTTTTCATTGCGTCTTCATTGAATTTTCGTAGCACGCTCTCTTGTTTCTTTCGGTGGTGAATGAGGAAGCAACAGTTCTGCACGTGGATGGGGCTGTCAGATTGATCGTTGACAATGATGTGGCCTTTGAAGTCGTCTTGCATTTGTACCTTGTCACTCATTCCATCGCACAACCACAGTTTGCACATCATACAGTAGCAATGCGTTTGCGAACCACAATTGGCGCACCTTCCTCGACCTCCCTTGCCGTTGGTCTCTCCGTTGGCACCGATACGAAACACTGCGAAACCGCTACATTCTCTCGTCCGAGTGAGCACTACTTTGCTCCTTGCGTCTAGCTTGCCCTGAGCCTCTTGTGTGGCGAAATTGCCAATCTTTGCGAGCATGCTTCGTTGTGGTGTCTTGCTTGTGGCCAACAGAGGCAAGTCAAGTCGCAGGATGCCAAGTTGGCTCCGAGTCGATCGTCCTGTGGGGCGTGGTGGAGTCAATTGTTGCGGCGAGACTGCTCTCGCTTTCTTGCGTGACATCTCGTCGATGATCATGTTAAGACTCTTCTTGAACAAACAACGTTCGGTAGCCGTATCGCGGTATCGTTTCAAGCTGGCATAGACCGATAGATTTCTGTTGGCTGTCGACAGCTGATGGAGACGGTGGATGTGGACGGCCGCCAATGACAACATTCGAGCACAAACAACAGCTTGATTCTCGTTTGATGGAACATTGTAGTGACAATGCCACAGCAGTTGGGTGGTGGCGTCGGAACCGCCCTTGATAGAATTCCATTCCGAAAAGATCAGCGGGATGATGCGTGCCATCCTCGGAAGAGGTTTTGGCATGTTTGTGTCGACATCTCTCCACAACGCCAAGTCGCCTCGGAAGGAGTGCTTGTCGACGGGGGCTCCGTTAACTACGATAACGTCAAGCACAGCTTTCAAGTCTTTATCGGATGGGCTTTGTGTCGGTGGTTGGCACATAGATCCAGTCGAGTGTGCTGCTGTAGATATCAGACAAGACCACTCCGTAAGCTTGCTTCAAATCAGCTGGGACGTCGACAAAGATCCCATACATCACATCGCCAGAGTTGTCACCTACAACCAAGAGGATACAATCAAAGCCGTAAACGTAGGCGTGGTGGAGGACTTGTACGGCCTCGTGGGTATCAGCAACAACTTTGGCAAACTCTGGCGCAGACGCATCCACTGTGAAGTAGCGAACCTTTCGCTGGCGTGGTGTGTGGTCCTGACCAAGCAAGCGACGAATGGAAGCGACATGCCGCGTCTCTTCTTGGTCTCTCTTCTTTCCGACGCGAGCTTTGACCTCAACTCCAATAAGACGTGCCTCCGTGCCATCACCACCCACCAAGCCGATGAAATCAATAGAATCTCTTGCGTAATGGTTGCCTTGGCTCATCACCAACGGTGCTGTCGCAGCAGCCTCTAGCTTGAGAGGAGTCTTGGTCTCATCCAATTTGTGGTCCTTGATGCAGGATCGCAAGATGTGGCATTCAAGTTGATGGCCTCTTCGAGTGTACTTCTTTGCTATGCCCGTCAGTGGATCGAGGTAGCCAGCTCTCAACACCGAATGAAGCATTCTCAGGTTGTCTGGGAGATTGCTAGTGGCAAGTTGTCGCTGTTTCGCAGCAGACAAAGCAGGTGCAGCGGCGACAGGAGGGGGATCGATGACAACGTCTGGGTTTGCTAGCAGGTGCTCGTTGATCGCTTTTCGAACAGGATCGCGACGTTTTCCCAATGCCGCAACATCAACACCAAGACGACCAGCAATTGCGACAAGCTCTGACACCTTCTTAAACCAATAGGGCTTCAGTTGATGAGCCACTTCAAGCCAGCTTTCAAAGGACTTCACATCTTTCCGATCCTTATCCGACGCCTTGGAGAGTGTGTGACCAAGCTCTGTGAGAATGGATCGAATTTCGACGAGAGTTACCAGCTTCTCCTCGTCAATAACTTTCGTAACAAGTGTTCGATCAGACAACAGATTCTGAAGAGTCACAGCATCATTTGCTGCTACCTCTCCCTCGGCTTCAGTCTCAGCTTCCGTGTTGGCTTCCGTCTCGGCTTCTGTTGCAGGCTCTTCTTCTGCAGGTGCATTGTCTCCGACGTGTGGTGGTGGCTGCAGTTCGATTGGAGGCTCAGGCTCGGGCTCAGGTTCAGGTTGGACAAAAATTGCAGACAGTGTCTCCTTGATGCGGTTCCAAGAGTCCGGATGATTAAGAAATTCCTCGTTGCCCTTGCAAACAGCAATTGCTTTGTCTGTAGTAGAGGAGGTGAGTGAGAATCGACGGAGCAAGAAACATTCCGGAGTGCCTTGTGTAGTAGTAAGCGCTGTGACAGGGAGATCGCCGAGGAGCTGGACAAACTGGTCGGTCAGCGCAGTCTCTTCAGGACCGTCCGTATCTGGATCAAGGGCTTCGACGACGCGGAGAAAACACTTTCGAAGCTTGTCTTCCTCGGAAACGACCGTTCCTGGTCCAGGATCATACCATAACAAGTCTCGAGGATGAGCAAGCACCAACTCCCACTCTGGCTTCTCTCCGTGTTCGGTTGAGATCCCCAGCGTGATGCCTCCTGTCCCATTTCTGTATGCATGGCAATAGAGGTTTCGGCCATGGGAAACTGTTCGTTTGGTGAACAGCGTCTTGGGACCTTTGGGCGAAAGGTCAGTGCGCTTGTCTTTGGGGTGCATCTGTTGCTTGTAAGTCATGGGAATACAAGCCTGTCGCTTCACCGTACCAGCGGCAATCTTCGCCCCGGACTTCATGAAATAGCCATGGAGTATACCCTCGGTGATGTATCCGCGGTCTTGTCCGGTATAGACGTGGCGCATGTCGCCTGGAGCTCCCTGGGCTGCCATCGGAGTGATTGCGTTGCCGAAGCATCTCTGTGTTGCAGCTTCGGCTGAGTCGCCTTGTTGTCTCTCCCAAGCGATCTGTATTGGGATCTGCGAGTAAGAGTGGACAAGCGTGTGGCAGGTGTGGCCATTTTGATTGTCTTTCACGTGACGGACAGGTTTCAGCCCAGCGGTGTAGGTGATTCCCCGGCAGTGGGCCTTGTCATCATCAATTGTAACACGCATGGGTCCACCGTATCCCTCAACAAATAGCACACGGCTTATGGTATTGTAGGCATTCTCCAGTTTCATCCAAAAGGGCACCATGCCAGTGGGAGTAATGTTCTTGTTGCGTTGGGCGGGAGTTGGTGTTGACGCCGAGCCAATTGTCTTCCAAATTTTGATGTACTGGCTCTCTTGCATGGCGCCATCCATGTTGATTCGAGAGTACTTATCGAAGAGCTGCTTGGTAGAGACTTGGTAACAGCACGACTTAAAGAATGTCGCAAGAAACTTTAGGAACAACTCATGCTCCGTGTCCTTGAAAATCCGTTCTGATATGAAAGCTTTGAACAGCTCACTCTCGAGGCCAAAGATAATGCCGATGATTGAATCAAGGCTGGGTTTGCGACTGCCGGTCAGTTCCTCCAGTTTGCCGCGAATGAATTCAAATTCTCTCTTCGCCTGGTCCCAGGATTGCTCAGGGTGTAAAATACTCGTTAGTTTAACAAACTATGGCCACGGAGTGGCTTTAGTGACGCGGGCAATGGGTGGGGAAGCCCCCACCTAGCTGAGTCGTCATCCACATAAATTCTGCGCAGTGTCAGTTCATTCTCAAGGGCCCGGATGGGCCCCCCATTAGTGGACAATGCTGCACTCTCGTGCAGGAGAAGCTGGCAAGGGCAGCACCTGGAGCGCAAGGCAATACCCAGGATTTGAAAGCATGTTACTCATTGTAGTGGTTCGGCCAGTTTGGAGTAGGTGTGCATTGATCGTTGAAGTTGTTGTTGTGTGCGGGGTGGTAGGTTGTGCGAATCGTCCATGGGCAGCCCTAGCCGTTTGATGGTTTCGAGCCAGCGAAGGGTTTTTGGGAGTGACAGTTGAGGTTGATTTTTCTGTAGTCAAGATCGAGGCGCAGCGGTCGGTGGGAGGTAATGTGGCATCCCCTTTGGAGTACTCTTTCAGGATTTCCTGTCGGAGGGTGGAGAGGTGGGAAGTTGGGTGGGGGTTGGTTTTGCACGTGTAGTGCATCGTTCCTGTGCTCCCACATGCGGAAGTGAAGCATCCACAGTTCATTTGCCAAGGCAGTTGCCAGCTGGTGCCATCACCTTGTTTTCCAATGGAGTGTAAGTGGAGCTCGTGGGCAGTGCAAAGTGGGATTGCGATTCTGCCAAGTAGAAAATTCCACCATCCCAGTTTGGCCTGTGCACGGAGTCCGTTTACATGCTAGGAGTTCCAGATCCAATCCAGAGAGAGGTGTTGTGTCCCTTTTGCCAGTGATGAGTTGGGTCAGGATCTGCTTGGTCATCATGGGGTCTGTGTGGCGCTTGTGCAACCAAGTTTTCAGCTTGGAAATCTCCTGGTTCCACTTTTGGATGGATGCTGGTCTTGGCACGTAGCACATGGAGGGTGTCTCTCGTCGGCTGTTCCACACCGTGGGCAATCGCTGTGAGCCTGCCATTGGCGGCGTTGCAGCTGGCGTCCTACACCAACAGTGGCCTGTTGCATGTTTGGTGATGAATCTTTGGATGCCAATTGGTGCCTTCTCATGGCCCTACCCATTGCCTCCCAGTTGATAGTGTCCAGCGCTCTGTCCAATCCGCCTCGGAATAGACGACGTTAAGAATCTTTCCTCGCGCTGCTTCCAGTGTGGCCTTGATTTTGTCTTCCCAAAGGGCCTCGTGCATCTCACGGGGGTGAAAAGGGCTAGTTTCTTACCCTTGTGCCGGAAGATGACGCGCTCGTTGGTGAAGGGTAAATTAGGGCACGGGACGGAGTGATCCTGAGTCCACTGGGATTTGGCAGCAGTATCCATTTCAATGTTCAGGATTGCCCAGCGGTCCGAGG